CGGAGCTGAATACGCACCCCACACACAAACCCCACACTGCCCCAAATTCTTAAAAAGAAATAGTAACTAATTTCTTACCTGGATCTCATACAAATGAGCGATGTGGAACTGAACTGTGGAGAGAAAGAAGCAGAGAAAAAGAAGAGAGGAGTGAGAGTTTGCGACGTCACAAAGTCGCCCGCATGGACCTCGGCGGGTACGGATTGCAAACAGTATGCAGCACAGATGGGGAGGGGGAGTGGGACCGTTTCCCCAGAGCGCACATGTAATCCGAAATCACAGTGTGTATGTGCAGCGCGCTCTCTGGATCTCGCTCCGTGTGCCGTCTCCTTGGCAACTTCCGCCCCGGTCTTGGAGCGGAGTCAGCTAAGAGGAAAGATCGCTCCGTAGGAATATTCCAGGGCTCCCTTCAACATGTGCCATCTTCCACCAGGACAGCTGCTACATCAAATCTAATAATTGCATCAACACAGCAGCGTATGGCGGGTTTCCTTTGGTAACCACAGCGGCCGTACTTACTTTCAGCTTTGGACAAAGTGCAGAGGTCGGAGTCGATCAAAGCCAGCTGAAAGTGCTGCGGACAGGTGGAGGAAAAAAAAAAAAAGGGGGATTTTATTATAAACACAAATACATAAACATTGACGCAGTGTTAATTTCGTCGACGAAAACTATAACGAAAATTTTTCGTCAACGAACCTTTTTTCCACGACTAAGACGTGATGAAAACAATCTTAAAAAATAAAAACTATGACTAAATCTATTCTAACTTGACGAGACAAACATGTTGGTGGTTGACGAAGTCACAATACTTTTTCCCCCTAAATTCGCACGCAGCTGACAGACAACAGACCGGCAAAGTACGGCGGTTGTTAACGCGTCATGATGACGTCATCCACCAACCCAGAACGCTCGCAGCGGTTCAGCGGTGGTTCTTGTGCACCGACTACGGACCGCGACGACTATTTTGCGCTTCGGCTCCGTTAGTTTAGCTCGGCTGTCTCGGGTTAGCTGACTGTTAGCGGGCTGAAGCCGCGCTGCTTCACAGAAACACGAAGACCCGTTTAAAGACTGTCGGACCTTTCTGCTCTGTTCTCTGGCGACGGCAGGCAGCGTTTCCTCGCTGGATGAGATGCTCCGTTACAAACGCGTCTAACGTAATAAACTCATTGCAGGTTCTGAAGCCTCACGCATTTCAACTGTAGTTCACCCGCCACATCGTGAGAAGACGGCGTTAAACCGTCTCGGCCACCGTACGTTCGTTACTAAGCAACATAGAGGCGCCACACGTGACAGGTGGCCGCGTCAAAAGCGTTGCAAGTAAACAGACAAAGACAACAAAGTGTTGCGTTTAGATCCCTGGTCCTCATGAAGTTGTTACACCTTTGCCAAATTGTTAAATTGCCTTGCAAATAAATGCTTTGCTATTTGTTAAAATCCAAATCCTTTCATGTAATGATTTTTTACATGTCATTTATATTCGCTCACAGAGACACTTCAACCATTTGTTCTTGGCCCGGCTCCTCCGTCACATTTTACAACCCATTGTGGACCGCGAGTCAAAACGTTTGCCGACCCTCCTATAGACCTGTCCTAGGAGGGACATCTATAGACCTGTCCTAGGAGGGACATCTGATGGACAACCAAGTACTGCAAGCTAGACTATTATGCAGCTGTAGACACAACACAGGGGGTCCTGGGCCTGAGGAGGGAAGAAAAGGAGTTTAATATGGCTATTAAATGTGACTAAAACTAGACTAAAACTAATTACATTTTAGTCTAGTTTTAGTCGACTAAAACTAAGAAGGATTAAAATGACTAAATGTGACTAAAACTAATATGCATTTTTCGTCTAAAGACTAAGACTAAAATCAAAAATAGCTGCCAAAATAAACACTGCATTGACGTGATCAGCTGTGAGCCTTTATTGAAAATCCTCAAACTCTCATCTGCTGAGGACCCAAAAGAAACCATGAATGAACCCTGCTGATCGGCCGCGGCCGCACGTGAGCCTGTGGTGCCGAGGCGCTACGAGGGAACGTCTCCACCCCAGGGTCACCGAGCACATGACTGCCCCTCGAGTAGATAACACACCAGAGACAAGAAGATTAAGAAAGGCACATGAGCAGATCATTCCCAGAGTGGGAAATAATGTGATTCCAAGCGATCTGTCCGTCCCCCTGTGAAGGGCGCACTCGGGTGGCTTCGGGGTGACAGCTTCTTTGCTAGTTGCTAAAAGCCGACCGGAGAACAAATGCAGTCGCACACAGCTTCATGCTTTAAAAAAAAAAAAAGAAAAAGCACCAGCAGCGTCTCTTATGTGGGTCAGCGGCGAAGCAGGAATTGCACACGAGAATCTAGCACACAGTTAGAGAACAGACTGTTCTGCTGGTGCCGCCGTGCTACATGGGTCAGCCGTAGTGGATGGGTTACGGTGTAAAAAAAATGAAACATGGTTGCCCCTTGAAGCTGAATATCTGCGGTCTATGCGGCGGCAAAGGAGCGGCACGCGCGCAAAGTCATTTTAAGCAGAGCAACGAAACAGAAACACTCAAGAAACCCAGATGCCTAAATGTCAGAAACCACACACAGACGTTACCTAGATGGCTGGCACGCCGCACTCCTCCTGGAGACCCACTGCATGCTCCCGTAGTCTCTCCTGTCCCTCCTATCCTTTCTTCCTTCCTTCCTCCCTTCACACTTGCTCTGCCACCAGGCAGATAATACAGCAGGATCGTCAGCTTGGCATTCCACCTCCCTCCCCATGTCTCGCCTTCTTCACTCTGGTGTGTGTGTGTGTGTGTGTCTCCCTTTCTGCCCCCCCTCCTCCTCCTCCTCCTCTTCTTCTATCCCAGTGTCACCGATTACTATTCAGCAGACGGCTGCAGAGAGACACACAATACCTCAAAGCTGGAACAGGCAGCAGCGCACACACACAACCCCCCCCCCCCGTATCTCACCTCCTTTCTCGGCTCTTCTCCCTGGCCCGCCAACTCATCACCTCACTAATATGCAGCGCACAAACGCACTGTAGCAGATCTCACTTCTCCTCCCTCGCAGGCTGAAGTAGCAGCTCCGTGTGGTCACGTGCGCGGCTCCTAATTACTGTCATCTTCCATCACTGCTTCTATGCCATGTGAGGACGGAGACAGACAGAGCGGCTCTACGATGCCTCCATCCTCAGCACTCGTCATCTGCAGCAAAGCGTCTCTGCCCCCCCCTCCTCTCCCGCTCTCACATTTCTCCCTCTCCTACCTTCCTTCAATCTCTGCTTCTCTTAACATGCACCCTCCCTGTCGATATCTGGGCAGTCCTGTGTGTTTTGTATGTGTGTGCGTTGCTGGCGACGAGCCAGGACCGTGGGGGGGATGGGGGGGGCTGGGTGAGGACGTGCAGCACGTGCAGTCTGCTTAGGCCAATACTGTACCACCAACAGACACACAACCACGCACACACACACACACACACACACACACACACACACTGCATCCCCCGCAAGACACTACAAATCAGGAACCGTTGAAATCCGCTATAGCGGCTTTGCATAAATACAGAATACCGGAACAAAAATCACACAAATAGCTGGAGCCGGTATTGGTGGCAATAGGGCCGATTTATCCAATTCACTGTTCGTGTGCTTTAGCCGTTGGGACGGGAAGTTAATCCTGCTTGTTATTCCGATTCATTAAAAGATTTGGATAATTAACCACTAGACACCTGCGTGCTAATGCACCTCATGGCATGATGAAGACTCCTGTGACGGAATGTCTGAAGTAGCACAAAGCTCGGGATCCGATGGCAGTTTGTGCCCGAAGGTGAGCAGCACTCTCAGACCACAATATGTCCATAGGCTCCCCTGAAAGAGCCCCCCCCCCCCCGTTACTGCGGGGCCATGTACGGCTCAGAGGAGTCAGGCTGGTGGGCGAGGTTTAGCTCAGACAGACGGACAGATGATCCACCAGCCTTTGTTAATCCCACGAGTAGGGCGCACCACGAGTAAGAAGTACACAAAGCAGACGGGCCGCAGTGGAAAATGACTCCACGTGGACGGCGTAAATGACGCGCCGCTGGACCCGACCACGAAACTGAAATCATTATCAGGATCCCACCTTGAGAATGCAGGCATTTACCTTTAAGCTCGACTCGTAGTCCGTGTTGACTTTAAACATGAGTCCCAGTCTCAGGTGAATCTCTTTAGATCTTGAGAAGCCGGGGTCGATGTAAAGCACCTCCTGGAACGCCTTGATAGCCCTGGAGAAACAAAAAATAAAAAGGAAAAGATGAACGAAGGGACGTCCACTCTGACAGCTGATCCATTTTGTTACAGTGCCAACATCCGCTGGCCCCATTCTGCTACCACCTCAACTCAAACATTGCAACACAACTCCACGTGGTGATAACTTTGATAGGACATCCTCACTGTAGACTCCGCCGTCTATGGCTGTCCCGCTTTTCTCGCCTGCATGTTAATATTGAACATTAATACCACAAACTATCGAGAATTGCAATCATTTGCACTGAGAAGCCTTTGGCAACATTTACATTACGCAAATTAGGAGGGCAGATGTGGTTTGTCTACAGAAGATAAGCCTGTAGCGGCGTTCATGGTGTGCTTGCAAGCTGGAAGGTTTCCGCCTAACGACAAGCTGTCCTTCATTAGAGACGCCACAGGATGTGAAACCACCAGCGAGGTCAGAAATACATTCACCGCTGCGGCGCTTATTTTAACACAGGCTGATGATTCGCTCACCCGTGGAAACGTGGTTAACGTTGCTTGTAGTGATGGGTTATTGGTGAGGAAATGGACTCTTTGTTAAAGCAAAGGATCCACGCTCGGCAGAGGACATCTGGTCCTGTGGTCTCAAAGCGAGCTTCAAAAGTCAGACGGACGGTAGATAAGAAGCGAAAGAAGCGGCCTGTCGTGTGCGCAGGAAACACCCCCCGTTCCTTTCTCCCTGTGCCTCCTCCCTTTTCATCGGGCTCCTCCCTCTCTCTCAGTGGCAGAATCCTTGGTCTGACTCAAGCAAAGAGCGCCTCTCTCGCCCCTCGAGAAGAGGGTCCCTGACGACGACGCACAAAAAACGTCCAAACGCGCAACGTTTGTCCACCTCGGAGAAGCTTTGGATGGACTCTAACCGTGGAACCAGACAAATTCCTTCACAGGCTCCTGTGGACGGCCAGGGCCGCTCGGAGGTAACATGCACCGTTTGACAGCTCAGCATGCCTTCAGGGCCTCGGGGTGATGCAATCCCCTCCTCTCGAACCCAACTTGACATGCTTCCCCCCCCCCCCCTGGTCCCCCTTAATACATTCCACAGGCCTCGGCGACGGCGACATGCAAACCTGGCAGAGCAACAAAACTAGAGGCCTTCAAGGTCATGGATGGATGGATGGATGGATGGAGTGGCGGGGCAGCAGAAGGAGGAACAGACTGGCGTTAAGGGGGAGGTGTAGGGGTGCAGCTCGTTCGCGCTGCAGGAGCAAACCGCTCTGAGTTTAGCTCACACTCCCTGTTGCACTGTGCTCGCGACCATCAGGACGTGGACACGTGATCGGAGACTTTACATTGGGGTAAATACTACATTTCCAGGATATTCATCAATAATGACTAATACTAAAAAGAATATTATAAAAGGCAATGGCGCGTCCATGAATATGAGACACTAGATTACTTTAAATTACAATTCCTCCTCCACATTGTAAGGCTCGGGTTATGGTTAGGTGCTATGCACAGACTAACTTAATGGTAACTGTGGCCTAAAAGTCCATTCTCCATGAATTTAGCAGCTGGGTTTTAAACAAGAAGCAGCAGCATTTGTATAATGAAAGTACAGCACATAAAGTCTAGTCTAGCCGTTGGTGGTTCAGGAAAAAAAGGGAAGAAGTGAATCCGTCAATTCCGTGATGCCGTGGGACAGAGCCATACGGATCGCTGCACATAATGTGGTCCCACTGGGGCCCAGCTCGTCCCCAGTGGGGGGAGCATATGGGCATCACATAAGAATCAGGAAAGCGAGTTGAATTGACTGCATCCCATGTGCAAAAAAAAAAAGCCACCTTAGACGATTTGTATTTGGAAAATTCCCACTCATACTTTGGATGGTTAAAATGTTATCTTGTCTTCCAGACAAACCCGTCCACTGATCTCTCCTGCGTCACATCTCCTCAGTATATGAATGCAGCCTGCAGCCCGGATAGAGATCCCACATTACCACAAACCATTTGCTTCAAGGTTCAAGCCCTCTTTGTGGCTCTTCAGCTTCTAGCGGCCTTCTTGCTTGCAGGTATCAGGAAAGTGAATGAGCTCCTTGTTTCAATGCCGTCGCTACACAACACATAGAGTTGGAGCTCAGCAACACACGTGTTTCAATGGTCTAACTGAGACGGGACTCCTTTACCATTAACTGGTTTACTTGTTCCCCTGCAGATGACCCCCACACACCCGGTGGAACACATGAAAACAATCAATGGGTGTTTAATCAAGAGGACTAGCCTCCAACACAACAACGGCTCCACATGTGTTGATTTTAGACATTGCATCTTGTTAGTTCTCCAATACTTTTAAACAAAAAGGCGCACTCTGCCTCTTGGATGGTTCATCTGACGGTTCAGCAATGATGGTTTCCGTTTGTATTTGAAAACCAGTGAAACAAACACAAGTAACTACAGTTGAGAGCTTTTTCGAGGCGTCCTTTAGGAAGCAAGGCTATCCGTTTCTCCCTGTTTACAGTGTTTGTGCTAAGCTAGGCTAACACAATCGGTACTGAACACACAGATGAAATGATGATATCAATGGTCTCACCCAACAAGAAAGCAAAGAATGTCAATATTTCTTCAAGTTAAACTAAATGTTTTATTACCAAAAGGCCATAATCATGGTAAATGTGGCGGACGCCGTGCATGCAATGAGTTTCATTTATAAAAGGACTTACCACTGAAATGCGTTGTGATGGAAGTAAACCATGCCAAGGCCATATAAAAAGGCAGCATTCTGGGAAAATAAAGTATTGGAAAATGGTTACAAACAGAAGAATAAAACCCCTTTTGCACACTGTAATACTTAAGGTTCAAAACGTGATGAGGAGACAACAGCTGGCAGTTGTGATCGTGGTTGCGTGGCAACGTCATAGCGTGTGGTCCAACACGTCTGCACCAATAAAAGGTCTACACGCGACATTACACGTTCAGCCGTTCATTCCTCTGCTAGATAACATACACAACACCGTATACAACATGCCCCTCTCCTAAAGTCTCTGTGCTCTCCCTCCCCACAGGCTTCTGTGGATGGTGGTTCTATCTGATGGTGGTTGCCCCTGCAGTGGTCCTGCCGTGCGCCTGGCTTACTACTCACAATTACTTGAATCATTTCTGTCATAGGAATTGCATGTTTTATACATTGTTCATTCTGTACACATGGCATCCATTGTGGTCTGTCCATCCCGGGAGTGGGATCCCTCCTCTGACGTTCTCCCTAAGGTTTCTTCCCTTTTTTCCCTCTTGGAAGGGTTTTTTCATTTTTTGGGGAGTTTTTCCTGTGCCGATGGAGGGTTTCGGGACAGAGGATGTTGTATGTGTAAGGACTGTAAAGCCCTCTGAGGCAAATTTGTAATTTGCGATTTTGGGCTATACAAAATAAAATGAATTGAATTGTATATTCATTTCTAGCAGAAGCCCCTTCAACACAAAACCTGCTAGTTATTAGCTTAGGGCAACTTCACTGTTTAACAAACCACGCAGACAGTGGGCAGAACGGACCGTCACATAAAGTTATTGACGAACATTCAAAGTAGCAGAACTAAAAAGAACAATTAGCCAAGACAATACGAAAAGGACATTATTCTTATTCTTCCAAATATCTGTTGATAATAGTTAATTTTATGAAGTGATCATTTGAGTCAGTATCCGCTGTGAGCTTCTTTCACGTCGAGCTGGGCCACACTCTGCAGAAGTTCATTTAGGTTTGCGTTTTACATTTACAATGAACTGAACAACCTGATGGCAAACATAACACATCATACAAAGAGAAGAGGGAGTGGAGAAACACACAGGCCATCATTTACTGAACTTTCATGATCAGGATGATGTAGACACATCTTTGCTGGCTTAGTGTCTCTTTCCCAGTTAGACCTCTATTTGGTTAATCACCCCCATCCAGCCCATACCAATGAAAGCCCTCACAGAGAAAATACTAAAAAAACCCTCTCGTATCCATAATATAAGACAACATCTTTGTTAAGGTCCCACCTTACACCCACAAAGGTTTTCAGTGAGTTATTCTAGCTCATTAGACCTCTGCTCAGAGTGAAGGTGGGCCAGAGCGTTAAAGGGAAATTTATTAGGTCACAAATCCTCATCTGCCAATAAGAATGATGGAGCTGACATTTGTCTAGACCCAAATAGTTAATCAAAGCCAACAGTAAGATGTCACTCAATTAGTCTCAGCCAGATTAACTGCAAGGGAGTGCTGTATACCCCTGAGGGATCACGTGGGATCTGAACTACTTCACCTGATACAAAAGGTCGGGTTGGGTAAACGCCACAGAAAAAAAAAAACAGAAGATGATGTGACACTGCACAATACGCATCGAATGCTCTTTTCCAAAGGCAGATGGTGGTGAACAATCACCGGCTGTGAGCACATCTGGTTCTGCTCTGCTGGTTGGACCCCTGCTGAGGTGGTCGACCCTACGGCACGTGTGGCTCCGCTGGCTGGACACTCTGCATTGACCGAATAAGCATAAACCGCAGTCGTCCGGTAATACAACGCTCAGCTACCACGACCATGTCAACAACCAAAGCACAGCTAGCTCTGCTAGTTATCTAGCTGACACTTCCACTTTCTACTTAATACTATATCGTAACACAGATCAGCCATCCTCTATGGATCAGAGGGAATGCAACCACAAACGTATAATGTAATCTATAAAATCATTCATGAGAACAATCGTTTCCACCGCGACCTTCCGGGGTCTTTGTAGGAACGAGTTTTAAAGCAGCAGCATTGACATATGAACATGTGACAGCACGTAAGAGAAACAAGAAGAGCCGGACACGCCAACTGTCAAATAAGCAGCGACTTGCATCCACCCAACGAGGTCCCTTCCTGGGGTCCATAGTGGCTGTTTCACTTAGGTCACTCTGTGAAGGCTCTTGTTTGCCAGTAACCTGAAGAATCATGCTCCCTGTAACATATGGGCCACAGGTGAAGCCCTAACACAGAGCTTACGGCCACTCTCGAGCATCTGGAAGGCGCCCACTTGTTGCAGGGTCTCTCGGGCACACAATGCACACCGCCTCTCAGCGGCCTTACTGCATGCAGTCAGCGGTGCGACACATCCGCGTGTCCTACGGGCGTCGAACACACACACACACACACACACACACACACACACACACACACACACACACACACACACACACACACACACACACACACACACACACACACACAGCGGGCCGACAAGCTGCCCAAGCTTCTTGAGCGCAAAACAGTGAAACTACCAGACAGGTAGTTGCTCTTACAGGTATTAGAACAGAGGTTCATTTTACATTGCAGAGCAGAACTTCTACATGACCTTGCAAATAAAGAAAATACTGTTAATAGCGTTTGTACTTTTGGCTTATGCTGCAAAACTGGCCGCTCTAACTTCTAAGCGTCGTTGGGTGGACACTGCAACGCTCTGTTCAAATAAAGACTCACCAGAAGCACACCACACAAACACATTGGATCCAACTCACCTTCCAGTAGTCCGGCTGTAAAGTGAAGTACCTCTGGTATGCCGATAATGCTGGGAAAATGGTGCGATGGAGGAGAGCATGTGACAAAGAAGGAGGGAGAAACACAGAAGGAAATAAACAGTTAGTGGCAATGTTAGATAAACGAGCTATCATGTCTTCATTTATTTGGATGCCCTTTTGCCAAATGATATCAACGGGCAGGCGCATTTGCACATGGACACTCTCACCTTTTGAGTAGTCCTCCAGCAGGAGGTTGAAGTGGCCCAGCTGGCAGAAAATGTCAGGGTCCACTTTCCCCTCTGCTTTCAGGATGAGGGCGTCATAGCAGCTGACGGCCTAAACGAGACGGCAATACCAGCGGAGCGTTAAAGGCGAGCTACGCGGCTGCAAGGAATGATACCGATCTTAAAGCATTGAAAAATCTAAATTACAAGCACATTCCACCAAAACCATCACAATCCATTATGAAGGGTCGATGTTGCAGACTGCTTGGGTTTGCCGGAGGTGGTGATCGCCCACAGCAGACGGTATATTAACAAAAAAAGATCTTCCAGAGCGGTTTTAGCTGGTCCGACCGGCGAACGGTACGGTCGACAGTACGCCAAAGTCGGCGACGAATGACTCACGTCGGCCCCACTGCAGAGGAACCATTAGCGAGCGTGTGAGACGCTAAAGAATTAGCATGAACGCAATACGTTGTGTTATTAAAACAGTCAGATGAGTGAACGTCGGGTATTGTTGTGTTTATACAGCCTCAGCTTTCGGCATACGCTATTCAGTTTTAACCTGACTGAAAAAGGCGCCAGCTTAGAAATTCCTAAAATCAAATGATTCAGATGTGAATAAGCAAAAATGATGTTAATGTTTCTTATATTTGCTTTATGTTTTGATCATTCTGGATGACACTGCAGCTCCATAGAAATAAGCCATAGAAATGACACAGTGAGCGTGCAAATACTGATGGTAGTGACACAAACTATTGCGTACTTTAACAAACAGTGTGTTTGCAACAGTTTAAAAGTTGTTGACGGAGAATCTTTTCAATAAAGTTGACTCCGGTTCTTTTTATTTAGAAAAATGCAGTTACGTTTTTGCTTTTGGGGAACCATTTTCCTTGCAAACTGCAAACAAATCTAAATCTTCATGAGTGACTTAAATGTATTTTACAAACACACACGTCAATACGATGCAGCAGATGACATCCATGCATTATAACACACACACACACACACACACACAATAAGAACTGGCCTTATGCCAAGCTCATGAATTTGTGCCACATGGGTTACGTGTGATTCAGCAAATTTAACAATACACTCCATTTTCAGAATGTGCAAAGTACGGAATTGGGATGGGACTCAAATGAATGGATGTTGTTGTGGACGATCCGTTTAAACTGTAACTCATGCTCAACTAACACTGCCCCTTCCCCCATGTTTTAAAATGCAAGAGTCCAGCCAGAACATATAAAGGGAACTTGGCATCACACACACACACACACACACACACACACCTCTGAATGTACCGGTCTGTACTGGTCGGGTATCCAGCAGAGTACGCAGGACACTGACAGCAGTACAATGAAAAAGGTACTAATGGCTGAGCCTAATCTGAACGCTCACCCCTCATCCAAATAAGCAGCCGGCCCTTCCACGGACACCCTGCAGCCACATGCGGTCAAACACACGAGCGTCATGAAACACGCACCGCGCGTCATCCCCGTTAAGTTACCGGAGCGGCCCTGGCGTCCGCTTTCTAATGGACCATCTTTGTTTCACACACACACACACCGGACGCCGTCGTCGCGATGTGGCGTTTGCAAATGGTGATTAGCCTAGCCACCGCTGCTAGTTAGCTAGCATTACGTTTTGCCTGGTGTCTCCCCCCCCCCGCCCGCCCGCCCCCGCCATCTTGGGCCAATACACCCAACAGTCATTTCTTTTTTTGCCAACCTTTAATAAAACACCCATGATATGAGTTTATTTTGACGGCGGTGCGACATAAGAACGTGCACGGTGGCAGTGTGAGTGTGTGTGTGTGTGTGTGTGTGTGTGTGCGTGCGGCTCGGCGGAGGGGAGAAAACCCGCCGGGCGGCTAGCCGCTACATGCTACCACCGTGAACTGACGCACAACCCCAAACTCTCCGCGGCCGTTAGTGACGACGGGGGACGGGTGGTTCAGTGGGACGCGGATATTCGCGTCAACTCAACGTCCCTCCTCTCGTTCGGGACATGTGCGCTCGCCCTCCTCCGAGCCCAGCCATTCATCCGGCTTTCGGAACCCACATGACACAAGTCGGGGTGACACGGTGCGAAATCGTCACCGCAGAAGCGCTTCGGTTTAGCGCCACTTGCGCGGCGAATGCAACGAGCGCAGCAACAGCAGCAGTCGTAACAACAACGTGCTCAAAGCGCACGCACACCAGTGCACGAACTCGCGGCTGCCTCGCGGGGCCCGTTGTGTTTATAACGTGGCGACAAAACACGTTCCCAACGCTCGACGCGGAGCTATCACGTAGCATCGTACGCTCTTCAACAGACCTGCTATTTATTTAGCAAGGTAGATATTAATTCCGTCCTGCGATTGTATCGCCTGGGCTCATTTAACATTGATAAGACCGAAATGTACCGGAGCAGTTTTACCCAGTTTATTCATTGCAGCGATCGCGTGAATAACTCTGTACTGTTAGCCGCTGGTTCAGCTTTAAACTTGTGTAAATTGAGGCTTGTGTGTGTCGCTGCTAGCTGTGTAGCAAGAAGTGGGGGGGGGGGGGGGGTCCCTGCCCCTTATTTCAGGGGGGGAGGATATGCACTAATCAGAGGCGATAACCGTGAGAGCGGACTGTGTTCATATTCCGTGGCATAAGTTACCTTTAACAGCAAGGCCTTCGTTCTGGCGCCATCTTCTTGAAGCCTATGAAATCCAAACAGTGAACTGCAAGTAGAGGACAGACAACACACAGGCGGTTCCGTGTTACTTGGAAGGGGGGGGGAGGCGGTCACATTTTGTTTATTTTAAAACTGCGACGAACAACACGTTTCGCCAAATAAATCTAGGAGGTGGCCGAGGCCGTTTACACGGGAGGTCGTCTAACCTGTCGGTTCCGTCCAAGCGCTCTCTTTCTTGCGCCGTTAGCTTCGGAAAGTCCTCTTCGATATCGGTCGCTGTTCCCGACGCCATTTTCTCCTCGTCATTACCAGCAACGCCGAGGCTCCGGGCAGCGGCAGATGCGGCGGCGGCGAGCGACACTCCGCACGATTTCATGGGAAAGAAACGGGAAGCTCGACGGGAGCGAGGAACTCCGGCGAAACGCAGTAACAACGAAATTGTTGCACAGCTAACGTTATCCAGGACTAAAACGGGGCGTAGCGTAGTTCTTGCCAAATCCTCAAGGAAATGATCCCTCCAAGTTACCTTGCACACTCCTCATTGTACATCAAAACACAGCGTGTATTCCAGTGCCAATGTATGCATGAAGTTGATGTAATGTTGGGTTTTGGGAGTGAGGGTTACTTGGTAATGTCGCAAACTTCCCCAACCATCGGCTCAAAGTTGTTGTAATTGTGTCACATAGGCAAACGCACGCCGCCGCTGTCGGAACGCCCTCCGTTCGCCTCGGCCAATCGGCGGCCGGCGTGTGCCGCCACGTGACTGTCTCAAGTTGATGTGTTGCGAGCACGCGGGCGAACACGCGCACGTACACATCAATGTGGGCTTCCCAAGGCCCGCGATTGGCTCGTCACGTTATATTATGATTACGTAACTGTATTTTAGAGCAAACCCTATTGGTCGAAAAAGCTGTCAAGTACGTTTGTTGCAACGTTGCATTGATAGAAGTATTAACGACTATATTGTATCTCAATTATTATATTACAAAACTCTTTATTTGTAATTCTCAAAAATAAAATATGTTGTGATTGTATTATTTTGTTGATTAATATGACTTGATGGAGCATACATTTTTTGGTGAAAAAGACTGCATTAATTAAAAATTGCAAAAAGTAGCTTATTTGAAATGGAACTTTCTTTTGGGATTTTAATATACATTTGATAGTTCGAGCCATTGCACCGAGCAATGTGATTTTTTCATTGGATTTCAGAACATTCCAGAAAACAGACAATGGCCAAAAAAGCTTATGATACCTTCCTGTATTTGGCCAGCAAAGATAATCTTAAGAATTGATGTTTTGTCAAAGTAAAGAGGTGTGGATTCTCAAAGACCCGATGGTAGAGGATGTCATTTAACTGTTTTGGCATCTTAGAATAAAAAAAAATGTGACGTTGTTTAAGATCATGATGTTGATTGTTTGGGGGAATTGGATTTGGAAACACTGGGTTGGGTTGTTTCAGTTGGATAATCAAACGGTTTACCCTTTCAAGATTAACAAACTTCTATAAGGGACAACAGAAAAGCCTCAAAATATAAAACAAGACGTAAGAGTAAAGGATCGATGGAACTAAACCATAACCAAATAGCATAGCCATTGATTGTTTTCTCTCTCCTCTGTTATTTAAATTTCGATTAAAAAGCTTTGACAGTAATACCTGCAGAACAGGCAAGAAGGTGATGGTGTGAGACAAGTGCCGTCCTCTCCCAGGTCCACGACCCATCCGTTTGCACACACTAGGTTCGTTTCTGTCCAGAGCCTGAAAAGTGATCTAAAGTAGGGTTTCTGCGGAGGAAATAGATAGCTAGTGTCGTAATAATAATAATAACTGTATTTACACAGCACCTTTAGAAGCACAGTTTTACAAATATTATTAATAAATAAATACAACCAGAAACCCCGAGCATATGACGTAATTTGTTTGGAAAACGATCATAACATGCTGAAATGTGGAGAAAAAGAAATCACAACGTACACAAAGTGTAACATTTAAAAACAAAGCGACGTTACATCCAAATCCCGCCGAGTGACGACAGGAAGTGAAGACGTCGGTGATTGTGTGTGTGTCCCCTGAACGCGGCTGTCCACCTTTTCCCCTCTTTTTTCCCCCCCATTCACCGACCCCCGTCCCCGCGCTCCGGCAGCCGCCCCCCCGCTGCGGTGTCTTCCGCTCTCCGGGCGAGGCGCAGTTCCTCGGCAGAGAGACGGCGCCTCCACCGGACGGCATCTGAGGACACACCGGCGCACTCCAAAATGGCGAACCGCGACAAGGGTAAGCAGGGCCCGATAGATAAGTACGCCGTTATCCGGTCCGGCACCGCGGTCCATTCCCAGCGGGGGGGTTAATCTCGCTATCGGACGTATGTGGGTAGATATTTGTGGATATTCTCTCCCTTTTGACGGTCGTTTTTTTGTTTTAGTCCGCGGACGTTAACTTTTCATCCGTGGCTTTAGCCTCGCCGGTGTGATGCTAACTTGTTGTCAGGCCGCAGAACTTCACCAAGTTGTTAAGATAATGGTCGTGTTGAAGCTTTTTTTATTTTACCGTAAACACGAACCGTTGAGGTTTATATATATGCGTCTAAGTGTGCTAAGTTCGTAGCAACTTGTATAATAAATATGTCAATGCTGCTTTTTCCCATTCCTTTTTTTAGACCGTCACTGCTGCGTATCATCCATTCTGTTGCTAATGCGTGACACGTTTCGCTGCTGTTGGTGTTTTCTGTTGTAAAGAGCTGGAGGAGGAGATTTACGACAAGGTCGTGGACCTGACGGAATACGCCAAACGACAGCGATGGTGGAACGGCCTCTTCGGGAAGAACTCGGGCCCTTTGGCGGAGAAGTACTCCGTGGCCACGCAGTTAGCCGTCGGGGGACTGAGCGGATGGTAAATATGTCCCTCGTTTACTGTCGTTTTTCTATGGACTACTGCAAACGCTGACAACATCGTTTGACATCAGGGGAGATGCATTGCACAGGGTTCCTGGGGCCTTGGATTGTTACTCCATCGCTCCTGTGCAACAACAAAGTCCACCCTTTCTAGCCTAATTGTGCACTTAGCACCTCGTACTTAACGTTTTCTGCGCTTTGATTCATTCACTGACATGCAAATCATTTTGAGATAAGGCCGAACATCATTCTGGTGGAGAGGAATTGCTGTGCAGCATTTTAGATGCAAAGTGGGAGGAGTGCAAATATAAAGCGTGCACACATACAAGTTTTAAGATAACGACGAGTTGCCAATCCAGAGAAAATACAAGATGTAAAATTCCCAAAATACATGACGTGTAGATCATAGCTTTATAAACTGATTAAAAGTAGGGATCGGTCTACGTGGGGCTGCGTATGTTTATGTCTGTACAATATTAGGAAGATTATATGGTGTATATGCAAATCTTATGATTCCTTTAACGTCCGTTGAAGTCGATGCTTTATGTCCCAATTCATTTTAGGTGTGCAGGGTATCTCTTTCAGAAGGTCGGAAAAGTTGCTGCTACATCTGTAGGAGGTGGTCTTCTGCTGCTCCAGGTATTCTTGCAAAACTTTAAAGAAATTCATAAATCATTGTGGTGAATTTGCTTCACGTCTATATTTAATTTTGCCACGTCTCCTTCTCCAGATAGCCAACAATAGTGGTTATATCCAAGTGGACTGGAAGAGAGTGGAGAAGGATGTCAACAAAGCTAAGAAACAGTTAAAGAAGGGCACCAACAAAGCCGGCCCGGAGATAAACACGTTTGTGGAGAAGGTAAGACGTGTGTGTGTGTGTGTGTGTGTGTGTGTGTGTGTGTGTAGTTGAGACGTCCCGGTGGCCTCGTTGTCAAGATGCTTGCTGTATAACCACAACGTCTTCCATTTGGTTTGGAGCCCCGAATTACATGTCATGCTGCCTTTCTCTTAAAAAAAGAAAAAAAAGTGGCATTCATCATTTTCTCAGTGCATCAATTAAATGATGCACTTCAAATGATGAGTTACCAAAACATTTGCCGTTTTATAGACGAACATGCTGGATTCTCATCCTTCCTGTACTAGCTTAACGTTCTTGCTTAAAAATGTATTTAACCATATTGTACAGTATTCTCCTGACCCTGCTGTTGAAAATTCAGGATACCATTTAAAAACAAAATGGGGCTTTATAACTTAAAAGGTGAATTCATGTCTGTTTGGAATGTTTTGTGACTTGACGTATACTGAAACATTTCTCTTCTTCAGTCCACAGAGTTTGTGAAGAAGAACATTGTTGTCACAAGTGGTTTCATTGGAGGATTCCTGCTGGGCCTGGCATCATAGGGTCTGCCAAAAAAGAACAGTCTCTATTATTTTTGATGTTGTGAGAAAATCTAGGAAAATGTTATAAGTCATTGCCGAAGGGTGTTCGACGGCAAGCAACCTATTTAAGATCAGCTTGCAGCTCTGTGTTTCTCCACAAGCTGCACATCCTTTGTCCAATTGAAAACGGTACATGTGACAAGAACTGTCAATTTAGAATGTGGACCTTCTGGAAAAGTAATGTACAGCAAAGGTTGTAATTATTACTGATCAATGGAAGGGAAGTAGGAAAAAAGTGTTTCATACTTTGGCCCCATATGCATTTTTGATTCAGATTATGTTTTGGTCATTTTGCCTTCCTCAAGGTCCACGATGGATAATCCAATACTTCATGACCTCATAAAACACTCCCCTTTCCAGGCTCAATAATGATTTAAATCATGGAAAATAGTTTTTCAAAAGTGTTTAGGCTATTGGAATGTTTATTTATTTATTTTTACCAAGCTGTTAAGTTGAAATCAAGAAATATTGTGTATCATTATCGTTGCCTTGTTGCACACAATTAAGCCAAACATAATGCAGCTAAGTGCAAGTAGCGTTGGATTCACCTTCAGGTGGTGTCTATAGGATTCCATCAGTAGCTGTGTTGTATTTTTCATTTTCAGACAGTAAGATCAATCATCCTCCTAAAGGATATTAGATGTTATGCCTTTTCTTTTTTATTAGAGGTGCCATATACTTGATTGGTTTTATTCCCACCATCCCTCCCTTTACCATACATGTGTTTTTTTAATTTTATGTAACTTGTGTAGCGATACATTGATTCTTTAAGTACTGAATGCAATGGTTTATCTACAATGTAAGTTTAATGAACAAATACAAATAAAAACAATCGGTTGAATTCCTTTCTCATGTATTTTATAACAATTTATGTACAATGATACAAAAATGTATTGTCACTTTTGACTTTACATTCTGGGTCCCTTTAGTCATTACTTGTCAAAAAGTACTCATGCTTCTTTAGTTTAGGCCTATTTTGAATTTGTGTTGACTCCAAAAAGTAGGCTGTTTCCAAATTGTATTTACCTTTTATACATTCAAGTGCACGGTATTACTTGCATCCCATCAGTCATACAGTTATTTTGAATATACACACACAAAAAATGTCATGTGCACATCCATGTTGATATTTTACAAGTTCCCCTTTGTTATTGACGTCGCTAAGAGACATCCTAAACAAAAGCGTTTCCATGGTAACCTGTAACAACTCAATGAAAAGAGGCCAAGTTGTATGAAGAAGAATATCAACCAGAGAAAAATGTCATCCGTGGCGTTACCATTTCTACCCGGGAATGCACCCAACAGACAAGTAAGCTTACTGCATTTCGTGGTCCATATATTTCACACGTTTTGGCTGTAGCTTAACGTTATCTCGGTTTGAAAAGGCTGTACTGCATTCCAATAGTTAGCTAGATGTTAGCTACAATGTCAGCTAGCAAACGTCACCAATAGGTAGTGACGTTAGGTTAGCTCCTGAGCTAACAAGCTAACTAGCTAATTAGGGCATTCGGCAATTTTAACCAACTGCCTCAATGTCACTAACGTTATTTAACTGATACAAAAATAATTATTTTAGATAACGTTAACACTTTAAGTCGCAAATATATCTGTTAACCTGACAAGATATTTTTCTTCACCCTGTGTAACTCTTAATTAGCAAGTGTTAAGCCGGGTTTTAAAAGCGTTAACTTGTAACATTTCTTCAACGTTAGTAACGTTATTTACTTACTGACGTTACGTTAAGTTACTTATTACTTGCATTTCTCAATAGTTATAGTTAGGCCCACTTGTTACTTTCCACATTTAACTAACATGTTATGCGTATAAGTCAAAGTTTATGTAATGACTGTTTATTATAGAAAGAAAAATATATTTACAAAATATATTTGGTCAAAAATATTTGGTCAAGAAATGTTATGTCAAAACATGTTTTGAAAAAAAGATTTAAAATATGTTAGGTCTACAAATGTCAAAATAAAATTTTGACTTTCAGTATTTCTCTCTTCTGTCCTACAGCTGGGGAAGGAGAGATTCCACAAATCCCAACATTTCAACCATTCCAGTGGACTCCCTATGCTGGTTGCATCTGAGAAGCCAGGCATTGGAGGAGAGTTGTTATTTGGCCAGATGATTAAACCAAAGTATTCTGTGTTTCCCAAAGAACAGGGCAGGGATTTACCATCATGGGTAGCCTTTGACAAAAAGGTGAATTGATCGTTTTTTTTATTAACAATTGACTAGAGGACTGGCTACACCAATCTCTAAAATGTCTACAAAATACTTCTGCTGTTAATGTGTTGCATTCAAAAAAAATAATGTTTTCTTTTGGCCAGATGTGTGTACACCACTTATATTGGATTATAGTATTTGTCAGTTTAGTTTGAAGCATTTCTACCAATGCTTAACTTGAATTCGCATTTGAATATTTCTAATACATGATAGAAACAAATCTATGAGCCATAATTTGATGAATCTCATTGACAAAACACCCCTTTCCTCCTGTAGATATTGTGTTTTGAAGCATTCTTCCAGGAAGCTGTGCCTGAGGCACAACATGAGACGTACAGGATCAGGAAGTGTAAGATCTACTTCCACCTGGAAGATGATACCATTCAGGTGGTGGAGCCAGAGTACAAGAACAGTGGCATCCCTCAAGGTGTGTTTGATAACGTCTTTTAGCTCAAATGAATCTGTACGCATCCAAGACTTCAATTGGCCAGATGATCCATTACAGAAACCAAACAGACAATGCGCTTCACTGACATATAGTGAGTAGTTCATCAGCAGTCCCTTCACATGGCTGTGTTGTTGTTTTCTGTGGTAGGAACATTTATTCATCGTCAACGTGTCCCACTGCCTCCCCCGAACGATGACTGCTTCTACAACATTTACCACTTCAACATCAACCAACAGATGGTGCTGTACTCACGCACATTCACTGTGATCGACTGTGACTCTTTTACAAGGAACTTTCTCACAAAACTTGGGGTGATCCTCAATAACCCTGCCACTGTACCCGATGACCCCTACAGCAAACACCGGGAAGAGGTAAGAATCAGGCTTTTCATTTTCTTCAGACGATCAAGCGATGTATAAAATCGCATGGAACGGTGTTACTTATGTGTTTGCATTTCAAAAATCTCCCTTCACGCGTGATATTATGTATTGATTATTTGGACCACGATGTTCCTACTCCAGATAGAGAAAAGTATGAAGCCACTTCGTCCGTACGAGAGGTGTGACACGCTGAAGCAGTTCCTCGAGCACGACGGCAAAGTCCTGCGCTTCAACTGCTTGTGGGACGACACGGAGAGCATGTTCGCAGACCCGCGGGAGCTCACACTGCACTACCACCTCGGGGATGACACCATAGAGATCATGGAGATCAATCCCGCAAACTCGGGGAGGGATACTGTGCCCAAGTTCCTACGCCGCAGCAAAGTACCCAAGGTGAGGCATCACGATAGGATACGTCCATCAAGTATCTGGACCGCAAGCTGAAAAAGAAAACATCACATGCCCCGACAGCATAATGGAAATCGCAGAATTCTCTGAAGTACAGAGAGAGACGTGCTTAGTAGGAGTTTAGGAAGGAACATTTAGTGGAGCAGAATGGGTTTCACAGGTTCTCTCTTGTATTTGCTGTGTTACATTTCCATTTCCATTTACCCTTTTTACATGTAGATAGTTATTCCAAAGCTAAAGGCCTTCAGGGACTTTCTTTCTGGTTGGGTGGCTTCTTTTGCTCTTTTTCCCACCATCCCTCCCGTCACCCAGACCTCATTCTGTCTGACAGCACTGCTGCAGCATCCAGTCCCCCTCAAGCATTCTGGCTTTCTCCTTCAGTTACTGACTGAAGCCTAATTCAACTTGAAAGACTGCCAGGCTTCAATCATGTGTGCGTGTCTGTGTGTGTCTGTGTGTGTCTGTGAGTGCGTTTTCAGTCCAGTAGTTTTGTTTCTTTTGATGCCTTTTGTTAAATGTCAGCCCTAAAGGTTGACCAGAATCCGCCATCCTATGGGATTCCACCATGTCCATGAAGACCACCATGTCCTCATTTGCTCTGTCTCTTAATTATATCAAACTGTCCTTTGTGTTCTGTAGAATTTGGTCCCGGTGAAGCAGCCCGGACAGACGACGGACCGCACAGTGCTGAACGTGATCGCCTCCGCCAGGCAGCAGAAGCGCTACATGCTGGACAGCCTCAAAGTATTTCCCGCCTCAGCCGCGGTCACGGACACGCACCATGCCGATATGTGTTTTGTAATGTATGGTTGTATATTTTTGACCATATGGCGTGTCAGGTGATCTTGTAGATGGACGTAGTTCTGATTACAGTAAACAGTGGACGGTGTGACTCCACTTGTTTGGCTCCATTTTCTGCTACATTCAAAAAGTAATGTCTCCTTTGTGGTCGTTCTGTCATCTGATTCTCTCCCTCATACTCTTTGTCTCTCGTAGACTGGAGCTGTTCATGATGAGTTTTACAAGGACCGTGACCTGACTTTGGGCGGGGAGGTGAATGTTTGGGGCAGGAGAGTGATCATCACTGACTGTGATGACTTCACCAAAGACTACTACCGCTCCAAATACGGCATAGGTAATAACAGGTCCTTTTTTAGTAGTGCTTCAAGTGTTTCTTCAGGTGAAATATGAATATTTAAAACACTGGTTCAAGGTTTTATCTAACAACAACCCGATTGTATGTACTCAGTTGAATAATAGTTACATTTACAGCAGCTTTTCTTTGAAAATGGCGATGTCGCATTTCAACACGTCATTCATTAAAAGGATTTAATTCACTTATTGGTCGCTGGTGCCTGCAGTACCTTTGTCTGAACACTTAGGGGCAGTAAGAGCTCACCTCGGCAAGAAATATTACCTTCCTACAATATGGATTTGTCAGACTCTTGTTCAGAAAGGGCTTTCTCGGTCAAAGGGTATGTAAGAGCCAGTAACGGCGTGTCATCACACACTCCAGCTCTCCAGCGTCGGTATTCCTCCGTGCCTCCACAGTCAAAGGCGCTGGGGACGGCAAGAGGCACACGGCTCCCCGGCAGGAGAAACCCGAGCTGGTCCCTGGGCGGGTTTTCGGGCTTGCCGCATTAGTCCCGGTAGTGAACCAGGCCGAGCCCCCGGTGACAGGCCCATGTGATGGAGGGTCCTGTCTGACTCATGGCAGTCCGAGGTCAGCTCAGGGTCACACTCAGACCCGGGCTGCTGTGCTCCGGCATGGATGGATTAGCTGCTGCCCTCTGATCATCCAACTCTCCCCCTGGGTTCCTCTCTTCTTCTAAGTGTTTTGTCTTTTATTTCTCCTTCTTCCGATCAGAGGATTTCACCCCGGTGGTGTACAAAGCTCCCCCAGCCCCGATACCCGAAAGGCGTGTGCCCCCCTACAACGGATTTGGCTCGGAGGAGGACTCGCTGAGCTACTGCCATCGCCTGCTGCCCAAACCCCCACAGAAAGATTTCCACAAGTTTATGGAGAGGTCAGATGAGTGCTCATAGTCACTCTGGAACCTTTGTGTCTCTGTGTGTGTTTGTGGCAGTCCTCAACTTTGCTGTGTATCCCCACCCCCGCCCCCCCCCACCAGAAGCGACGTCATCAACGTGCTGAATTTCCGTGCCAAGATGGTCACCACCAATCCAGATGACATGCAGAGGGTGTTCACCATCTCGTTCTTTCTCAGCGACGACTCCATCTCGGTGTTCGAACAGCCCAAGAAGAACTCAGGTAAAATTTTGCCCAAAGCCGAACCACAGCGTTGTTCCTTTTGAAAGGAAATGAAGCCGGTGATGTTTAGTACAAAGACATATTTTTTTCAGGGATGGAGAGATTCCCATCGTTGTAAATCAGTTTGAGACAGTATTTTTTACAACGTAAGATGAATAGTATGTCGTGGATTCAAGGACTGTTCAGCAGGGCTCCAAGGTGAGATGTCCAACTGGTGACATGTTGTAAAAGGAGGCAACGGTTTGAGGATCGATTTAACTTCAATTTAGATAATTTAGAACAGCCAGAAAATGTCAATGCCTTCAAACTGAGTGAAAAGTGTCTGTGAAGTTGACCGAATGAGTTCTGTTTCCACACCTCCCTTCCCTCCCTCCCACACGTGGTGCACCAGGTATAGTTAGCGGTAAGTTCCTGAAGCGGGGTCGCGTCAAAAAGCCCGGCCAGGAGCTGTTCAAGAGCGAGCCGTCGGAGTACTTCAAAGCCCAGGATCTGTACGTTGGAGCCACCCTGTGCCTCAGCGCCGTGCACTTCCAGGTTTTGGATGCGACTGAATACACCTTCAGCTACATGGAGCAACATGCTGAGGAGGTAAGGAGGCAGCTGCAGCAGGGGCATTGCTCTCCTGTTCGAGGTTTATGTGGGAGCAGGTTGCCTGAGCTAACGTAACGACACTGCCCTGGTGCCTCTGCGTTACGTAACTCTACACCCCGTTGCTCGTGTGTCTGTAAACGTCTTCAGTTCCCCAAAGCCAACGTGGGAAACATCCTCAGCAAACTGCGATCCTTGCCGGAGGAGAAGCGGAGTGAGATCCGGGCGTTTCTGACTCTCAGTGACGCCGGCAGCACTGGCTTCATCTCCTACGAGTCGCTCAGGTACAGTAATACAGACGATATGTGCAGCGCACCCAACGTTGCAATAACACGTACTGAAGACTCTTGACGGAGCGAAAACTCAAAGCCGCCCCCCCCTGCACATCTGTAAGATATTAAATAGTTGCATTCTATTAGTTCTGGCTTTAAAGCCTGAGATGTGATCGGCTTCTGTGTATGCGCCACAGGGGCCTGCTGACCGGCCTGGGCTGCGGACTGTCGGAGCACGAGGTGCTGGTGTTGGGCCGAAGCTTCTCGCAGCGCCAGCAGCCCGAGGTGGACGTGGGCCTGATGCTGGCGGTGGCCCAGGACTTCCTCAAGAAGAACCACTTTGAAGACTTCCCTCACATGGACAGAGCCTTCAGACATTGCGATCAACACAAGTAGGTGGTCGCACACACACACACAGACTCACAACAAGACATCAATCGTGCAGTCAGTGGCCCCATATCTCAGGGCAACAATTAGTTCCACTAGTGTAGAGTGGAGCATTGGAACCAGATGGACCCTGAAAGACCCGCATGGCACGTAGCTCTGTGGACCAGAGGACACACACATCCTCTTTATTTGCGCACAGACCCACATGTTTGAAGCCCGTGCGCTCCGTATACCCAGCCGTCCATACATAAGCAGTGGACCTTTAACTACGGTGCAGTCAGCCGAAATGGATGGTCAACAGTTCCCAACAGGCTAAGTTTCTCGCGTGTTCATGGCGCCGTGTTGACAACCGGAATTGGTGCCAAATTGTTCAGCAACGGAGACGGAATGACCAGAATGGCCCCGTGGACTGGCTGCTGTCCCTGCGGAGAACAACTCAGGTCCTTGAGGACAAGCAGCTTGTGTTTCACGCACACGCACCTTGCTTTCATACAAATTGAGGTTGAGCATTTTTTCTGCAAATAATGCATCATATAATAAACAACCAGGGTCCAGCTCATGTGCTGCTCGTGGCATATTTGCTGTGGTCTTATGTGTGATTCAAGCCTCAGCATAGACAGTATGTTCCTGGAGCTTCATTCAAACGACCCATCACAAGTAGGCAAGCGGCCAGATGCGGGTCCACCTCATTGACTCTGTATATACTGTTGATGGATGACGTTTCTCCATCTCCATGCCATCCTCATCAAACGCAGTCTGTGGTCCAAACCCCTGGTTCTGCCTTGGCTTCTTCTTTCCGTATCTTTGATGCTGATGTCTATGCTTTTCTTTGTGTCTCCAGGACCGGGCGTCTCTCCACCAAAGAGACACGGACCATCTGTAAGGCCGTTCACCTTCCGCTGCCCGAGAAGCTGCTCGCGAGTCTGCTCGGAAAGTAAGAGCCAACCAATCACGGCGGAGTACAGGGAAGAGCTGTTCAAGGTTCCCCTGCATGTTCAGAGCTGTTCAGTTTTTTATTTAGTCCCGTGCCCAGAAATCTTTCTTGGCTTAACAAAAAAAATGTTTGAATCAGCATTTAGACGGACTACCGCTAAAAGAAGATGTATTAGAGCAGAATGGCTTCATTTGAATCAAGTGGCAGCTCTAAACAGTGTACGCCTGTTTCCCATCTGGCGCACGTCCGCTGTAGGTTTGCAGATGGAGACGAGATTGACTACCACGCCCTCCTGGCTGGCATCAACTGGCTAGAGAACAACGCTTCCCCGGTGCTGCCCGAAGACAGGTTGAAGGTAAGGGAGGCGAGCGGCATGTAAAGTAGCGGCGAGAGAGAAAAACCTTTTAGATGAAAGTGAATCAGACAGTACAGCTCAGGGTTTTAAATAGCAGTAATTGAAAATCCATCTACATTTTACCTGCGATGACTCAGTGGACAAGTGAGCCAAAAGCCAAATCAAGTGCGTGGGAAGGGATGTTGAAATGGACAGGAGGACAATTTATTTTGCACAAAAAAGGACTTTAGAGAGAGGGAGACACGCACACACACACACACACACACACACACAGAAGTGGTCAAAAAAGAAGGAAGTAGCTCCTGCGTTCCTCCCTCTTGCATTTGTATTTTTCCTATGTAATGCTAATTTAGCATGTTTTGCAACAGCCAAATCTTAGCAGAACCAGTACACCACGGCACGACAATTAAGTGTGTGTGGTTCAAGCGCGTGTGAACCAGTGCTTACTTTATTGTCCATTTTCCTCTGCCACGGTTTCCAGCCGCTCTCTGCCTTCCCGGGTTCTCAGCCCAAACTGGTCTGTCTCCGCTCAAGGACCTTTCCCTCCCTAGAAAGTGTACCCTCAAAAAATGAAAACAAAACAACTCAAATTGGCCACTGAGGTCCCGCGGAGGTATCGTGTATCACACTGAGTACACAGCAGTAATGTCATGTTGATGGACCCACATTGACTGGCCGCACTCCCTGGGCCTTTCTGCTCTTTGTTCAAAGCCATGTGCTCTTTAGTACAGCCAATTTTCTTACTTCCTCTATAATTTATATTCTTTCCATTCCTTACATTTTACAATATCGGGACCAATTAAAAAAAAAAAGCCTTCTCTGAAGAAACAATTTAAATTGCACGTCTGTTTTTCCTGTGTGTGTTACGTGTGAGGGTTAATCCGTCTAACTCGACAGTTTTTACCCTTAAGCGAAGCAGTGTTTTATAAACAGCCCGTGTGTCACACACGGACGTCTTACGGAGCCTCCCTAGTTGTACAAAGTGCATCACACAGAGCGAGCCAAATAAAGGAGATATCTCTCTCGGAGAAACCGCAACAGAGGAGAGAGACAAGTGGTGGATCCAAAGTGAAAACTAAATGTTTAAATGCAGTCAGAGTTGTGCCAAGACTGGTGTGCTCCTGTCGTCTCCAGTTCGTGGTGGATTCCGGGTCCAACGGCGACGGGGCTCCGGTGGAAAGCGTCAACTTCTCTCGCCTTCTGAGGGACGTGTTCTGCTCTCCCTCCAACGGCGGTGACCCGACCAGCGCCACCAGTACATAGGCCCCATGTGGGCGGTGAAACGGGTTCTGCCTCTGGAGCACACACACACACACACACACACACACACAAACACGCCGCTTGTTACGCAATTAAAGAACACGGTGTGTCGGCTAACCAGCGTCTGTGTTTTCACTGTGTGCCGTCATCTCACATGTCACCTTTTGGTTCCCTATTAACGCTCGTCTGCACCTGGCTGAGTGTTGATCTTGGGATTTATTCTCTTGTATTAATTGGATGAAAACAAACAGTGAGGTGTAATTTATAACCCGCGTTGCGTGTGTGGCAGTGTTAGACTATAAAAAGGCACAGGTGGGTCAGGTTTAGGCGCCACTGTAATCAGAGCCTGCGTCGTAGAGGGGATGAGTCAAACATTAGGTAATCAACCACCCAATCCTCTCTATGTGACCGGCACACACACAATGTACCCCTCCCCTGTCCAGCCTCCCTCCCCCCCTTCACACGCAGCACAGAAACAGTGCATTACATCACCGCGGGCATTATCAGGTCTTCTCCGTCTGCCGTCTCACATACGAAAATATTAGCTTCCCCTGTCACCCGCTGCCAGACGTTGGAGAGAGCTCACTCGGCCTTTTTGTTGCCCCGCGAGGCATGCTGCGGGAGAGGGAGGGGTTTCCGACGCCCCCTTCCCCCCGTCCAGCGCTCCCGTCCCCCCCTGCCAGCCGCCACTTTGCGCCCACACATGCCGCTTTCTGCCCCGTCACGCTCCGTGGCACAGCAACAGCACACTGCGGGGCGGCGCCCTCGCCGCTGGGCTATAAATATGACGGTCGGATGGTGTCGTGTACACAGAGCATCCTTTAGGTTCAGACTAACGGTATACAGATGTATTCAGTATTCATCGTGTTAAATGGTCACCATGAGAAGACCAACACACAACACTTGATTGATACTGTTTTGGTTTTCCGTCGGGATTTGTTGGCACAAATGTTTTTATGTTTTTATTAAGGCTGTCAACATGAACGCATTAATTCATGCATTATTCAACACGTTCCACCCGGTGGAATTCTGCCTCCAAGATGATCAAATGTGTGTAGTTTTGTATATATTAACAATTAGACAACAGTGTCTAAAATACACACTTTCTAAAGCGATTACTTATTACATGTAAGTTTAGTCTTTAAAAAAAGAAAAAGAAAGGGCAATCATTCAAAACAACATTGTAACAACAACAACATTCAATAATCGCCATTAATCGCCATTAATGAATTTCAAAATGTGAGATTAATTAGTAAAAAAATTCACAGGGCTGCCAATGGATTAAACCTTTTTTACTAATTAAATAAAAAAAATGACGCCACCCTTTAATAAAAACTATTTTCTTTCCCACGTTTCTTTAAGTCTTTAAAAACTGATCGACAGGAAGTTCATGAGCGTCTCTGGGGCCGAGGGGGGCTGAGTGTTTGTGTGCAGGTCTGATGGAGTCACGGCTAATCTGTGAAGTCTAAACAGATATCTGAGAACAAGAGAGGAAAAGTCTCTGTTTAGTGGCTGCGTGCCTTCCTCGTCTCGTGACAACAAATCCCCAACACGCACACACACCACAGAGCACCTGCGTTCAGATGTTTTTCTCAGAACTGTTCCCCCAGAGCAGCCGTGTTTGACCCTCTACAGTTCAATCTAAATACGCTTCCGTCACTTTGTTTCATGGTGTAAGTCTCGTGTTTTAATTTGGCGGCTTCAGTTGATTATTACGCCATTTAAAACCCTCGGTTGGGACGGTTTTTGGGAGCTTGTATATTCAAGGCATTTCCTCATTGTAAACAGAATGAACTGATGAATAATCAAATAAAGTATAATATAAGCTTGCGGCATTCGCGAGGGTCGCAAGTGACGTCACATCATTTGGCTTTTCCTTGTGGAAGGGTTTCACCTGTCGGTGCACACCCAACAGTCTCTGGGCAGGAGGTAGAAGCGAGGCTCAAACCTCCACAGCAGACCTGTAGAGAATGCTACCGTTAGCATGCTAATACGCAAAAGCAGGCCGGCAGTGGAAACTGCACCTACAAAAAAGAAAGCAGGCTAACTCATAGATATTCCACTAAATGATTATGTTTATCATTAAGTGTAAAGGCCATCAATAAAGCCCACGCGGGGTGAGCAGGAGAGGCGGAGGATGGGTCCATTTGTTCCACATATGGGCCGAGGAGTAAACGTTGATGTTTTTATTACTCATCAGCACTTCAGTGGTTATTTTAACCCTAACAGCGACCTTTTCCTAACTCTAACCAAAGTGGTTTCCCGTAAAAGGCGGAAGTTTATTTTGAAATACCATACTCGAAAATCAACACGTGTAATTTAGATTTACTGACAAAAAATGTTTGCGCACCAAAACATCGGGTGGCAGCCTACTTGTTCACCCGGTGTCCCGGGAGGGGCTGTTGAGTTTTCTCCGCCTGCAACCGGAGGCCCTCTGCAACCGCGCTTCCATCCAGAGTTCAGCACACTGTTTCTGGCCGCTCTCCCTCGTTCCAGTGATTCCTCGGTGCCGATGGGGCGTTGGCACAGAGCGAGGGAGAGTGGGGGGAGTGGAGGGAGACAGGGCTCAGGTTTAGACGCCCCCCCCCCGCCCCCCCACACAGGGTCAGCCACCGCCCCAGGTGCACATGGGGAACCACTTAGCTGCTCTCTCATTATTCCATATCTCCCTCTATCTCTGTCTCTGGATTTGTCACTTTCTCTCTTTCATCCTGCTCGCTCTCAACGACCCCCCCCCCTACGGCCCCCCACGCCCCCCCCCCCACCCTCAGGGCTGCCGATCTCATTCCACGTGCAGCGTGTTGTTGTGTGTTTGTGTGCGAGTGAGTGTTAAGATCATTAGCTACGCCGCGGCCTGCGCTCACTGCGTCCTGACAGGCGCCGCCTCTCTTTGATGCCGCTGCTTCGTTCGAGCGTGAGCACTTGCACTTGCTCTGCCCCCCCCCCCCCCTGAACTCCATAGCCGGACCTGGTACACTCATCAAACATCAGTTGTCTTTGGCAGCTGCTGTGACAACACTCTACTTGGTCAAGAAAAGAGAACGTTATTCTACCCCGGCTGTAAATTACAACTATGGGACTTTTTTGTGTGAGGCTTTTGGCTCCCAAAGGAAACCACTTTTGAGGCAAAACATTCCTGTTTTTGTTTGCTGTGGACATAAATCACACCACGTGTGTGTCTCCCCAAATGTAGGCCCTTGTTTCATGTAGCTTAAAATAAGGCCGGACATCAACCATCCCGGTGAAAACGGCTGCTCCGTCGGTCAGAGAGGCAGATATTCGAGTTTCTCCATCGCGTCGGCCCAAGCTCCGTGCTGGCATGAGGACGCCGTGTGAGAGCGCGACTCGGGTGTGACCGAGCTGTGATTTGACCCTGCCCTGCTAATCCCCTTCTGATGAGGTGATGACCCCACCGCCACGTCGGGTCCGCTCGCGCCTCAGTTTGCCGGCCGCGCGGCGCGAGTCCGGGTGCCTCCGGGCCAAGGTGGGGCTCGATCAAGCCAGCGACAAACTGCCCCCCCCCCCCCCCCCCATCACGCGCCTCACAGTCCCCCCCGCGGGGCTCACGAGCTGATGAGACCCGGGTGCGACGCGACCTTTGACCTCATCGCTGTCGCGTGAACGAACGATCTTAACGCCGCTTCGCCTTTTCCTTCCGCCGAACCCGCCGCGGCTGCAGGACGTTTACAAGTTGTCAGGGAGCTGCTGCTGCCGTGGTACGTCACCTCGGTGGATCCCCTCCTCGTGCTCAATATATCTTCTGTCTCCCCCCCCCCCCCCCCCCCCCGCCCGCCTTCCCTTCCCACCCTCCTCCCCGCCGCATATGGGATTCACATTTGGCCGCGCTGAGCATTTCCTTAATGTGATGTTATGATACATCATCTGAAGCCGTTTACTCCCTGTCACCACCCCTCGTGTGGACACAAGCTGACGGAGGAGCGGCGTCCAGATTCTGTCCAGGTGAGTAATGGCCGTTTAATTTGACACTGTTCGCCTGAAAGGGTACTCAAAATACAAACCGTGCTCACGTGGGTCTCTTTCTCTTCAGCAGCCTGCCGCTGGTGTGTCATAAGTCTTCAGCCTGTCCTGCTGCTGGCTATCGAAGGTGTGTGTGTGTGTGTGTGTGTGGGAACAGAAGGTGAGAAATTTGGGGGTCAGCCCGGGTCCTTCAGGTAATTGTGCTTCTTAAACTTCTGACCCACTAAGCCGTACTTAGTGTGGCGCTCGCTCCCCTTATTTCCCCCGAGAGTTTTGACTCTGCATACCAGGACGTGTGTGTGTGTGTGTGTGTGTGTGTGTGTTTCTGATACAATGAGTGTCTGAGCACATGTGGTCAGCTTCACACGAGCTCATCCTTCCTCATCTGCTCTGGCATGGCGCTCACTGTCCTGCCCACACAGTCTGACCGCTCCGTCTCTAAAACAATCAGCCTATAAAGATGTAGTCGTTTGTCACGTAGGTGAAAATAGGTTATTTTGACAGGTTGGTCTCTGTGAGGCACGTTACAGGAATGCGCGCTCAGGCACCGGACGATCTGGATTATTCCCATGACTCAATTTAGGGGATTTTACCTTCGCCGTCGGTGTGCGTTTTAATGTGATCGAACTCAAGCCACCAAACCTGCTCACGCTCCGCGAGCAGCGAAGCAGCTGGGACCGTGCAATGTTTGGGGGGCGGGGGGGCAACGGCGATGCTTCCCCCCCCCGTTTATCACAGCGTGTCCCCTCTCTGTCTTCACGTTGAGCCCCGTGAGGATGACGGATGAGGAGGTTCCTGTGTCGTTCTCGGCGTTGCCAATACACACGGCACCGTCATGTAATGGTTTACAGATGAAGACCAGAAAATGAAATATCCACCGAGTCAGTAACAGTTTACCCGCTGGGTCCTGTATCATTTTTTAGAGAGTGATGAATGTGCTGCTTACTTTTCTCGGATTCTTTTATGGTTTTTGAGCAATGACCTTTTCATTTGAGTGTACATTTTGTAACATTTGTAGGACTTTCCCGTTGAGTGAAGCTGAACATGCTGGATGCTGTTTGCTTTTCTTACGACGATACATTTCACACGTATAGAACTTAACTTAACTACCGCTGCACAGATGCTCCCACCGGGGAGAAGATGGCTGAGGTGAGTCATTTAGCTTCCTCACCCCTCATGATTGGGGAAAGCGCGTGAAGACGAAGGTCCACGGGGGCCAGTTGTTTTTAAACAAACCAAATCTGCTAACAGTTTTATAACCCTGACCTCGTAAAAAGCGGCTGCAGCTTTTGGTCAGCTCCCTCCTGATGGGACCAGCAGAGCCGTCCAGGCCTGGAATTCCCATTTGCCGCCGTGGAGCGCGTCGATGCGTCAGCTGGTGTGTGTGTGTGTGTGTGTGTGTGTGTGTGTGTGTGTGAGAGAGAAAGGGCGTATGATATACGATTGCTGTGTCACGATCCACATGTGACGAGCGTCCTCACAGGCCGAGCATCCAGGCTGATCTCCCCGCTGGAGAGAAAGTCAGAGAGTGTGACTGTGGGACAGCAAAGAGAGAGAGAGAGAGAGGGAGAGAGAGGGAGAGGGGGAGGGAGGGAGAGAGAGGAGGTGAGAGAGACCGAGGGAGGAGAGAACAGCGCTCAGACAATCCGTGTGCGTGTGTGAGAGAGGTAGAGACAGGAGGAGAGAGGAGCTGGCGGGGAAACAATAGTTGAACTACCAAATCGAGAGCTGCGTGCAGGATCTCCGCCGCCCTCCGGATGCCTCTGCTGTCTCTCTGCTGAAGGTAAGAAGCCCGGCCTCCGATCCGCTCAAGGTATATTCTACATTCTCCATCTGCGTTTTCGACGGGCCGTAGAAGGATTCAGCCTGAGCCACGGCGCTTTACATGTCTGCATAGTTACGCAGCGGTACGTGCGCGGTGCACAGAGCTGCAGCTTAACTTGTGCTCACCGTTCCTCCTCCGCTGCACACGTCCCCCCCGAGCTCAGGTGCGCATTCCGCTTTTGCTGCAGGTTTTTCGGCTCCGCGTGCGTCCAGAATGCGCGGGCGGTTGTGATTAGGAAGCAGCGTGACGCGACGTGTAACAGGAGGAAACATGTTTGTGTTGGCTCCGGCCGATTCACTAATCAGGCAGTGACAGCGATGCTGGAAGGATATAGCCGAGCGCGCCGAGCTCGTAAGGAGAGTGTGTGTGTGTGTGTGTGTGTGTGTGTGTGTGGGCTGGAGCGCGAGGTTAACAGGCGGTGTGAATAACTTTGGATATGTGTTTTACAGGTGCGTGCGTGCATGTCCGTGAGTGTGTGATTGACTTGGCCTGTTCTGTTGGACCCAGAGGCTGCTGGCTTATGCCAGAAGGAGCCGATGACAGATGTTACGGGCTCTGTGGTAGGTCGCAGGAGGAGGAGGCGAGCTACTTCCACCTCACCGAGAAGGAGAGGCGTCCGTGTGTGAGGAAGAGAGACGGGTGGAAGGTGTTTGCATGAAAAATGAAGTGGCTGAGGGAGGAAAACATCTGAGAAAGAGACAGGAACCGTGAACCCTTCGGAGGACCGGCAGCGCCAGAGGAGGATGCAGTAAATAGGAGAAACAGAATGAAACTGAGATGTGTGAGAGGGGGAGAGTTGGGGAGTCTGACACCAGAGAGAGAGAGAGAGAGACGGAGGCTGTGATGGAGACGTCACCTCCAGACGCTCGTCTCCACTTCCTCCGACACCAGATGAGAAACAGTTTGCGCGGCGAGAAAATCTTCTCTCGTGTCGAGACCGACGGGCTCAAACCGAGAGGAAGGTGAGGAGGAGGAGGAGTGGGGGGGGGGGGGTTGAACGTTGCACACCCGGCCAGGTGTAGATAGACAGATAGGTGCGCGGTGGGTTCGTTGTCGCTGCTCTCATGTTTCATATTCTCAAACACGCACACAGGGGCCCTTTGTGAGCGTGTTTATTTGGACGGCGTTGAAGCTGTCGACGGGCATTTCACAACGCCTCGACTGAGAAGATGCGCAACGCCGCCCCCGCCAGAAAGGGCCGCTGACGGATCGCCTGCCGCCCGCAGAAACCCCGTCCAACGCGACGAAACAAACGCCCCCCCCCTCCCCGCCCAGCGACTCCGCCTGTGCCAGAGGCTGGTGTTGGATGGAGGCAGTGTGGCGGCGCACCGGTTTTATCCTGCGGTTCACGTGTGACCCTGCAAGGTCAAGGGGGGGGGGGGGGGGGGGCTCTGTTACCGTGAGCCACGGGACATCCGTCAGCAGGGAATATTCATACGCGTGTGTCCTCTGCGTCTTCCCTCTCCACCGCTTCTGAGAAGCCTAAATTGTAAAGCTAACACAAGCTTAGCTGCGGCTGCCTGTCAAATCCACACTGTTTGTCTTATCTTTACTGAGCGGGGGGGGGGGGGGGGGGGTATTTTTAGTGGGAAGCTTAGCTTTTAGGAGGGTGGCACGTGGGGAGGGAAAGCGAGAGCGAGAGTGTGTGTGTGTGTGTGTGTGTGTGTGTGTGCGGTTCAGGAGCTGGCGTCAGCGGGCGGTGAGAGAGATTGCCACTCTGCATGCCAAACTGTGTGTGTGTGTCTGTGTGTGTGTGTGTGTGTGTCTGCCTTTACTGTGCGACTGGAAGACAGGTCAGTGGGTCCGCCCCCCCCCCCCTCCACACACACACACACACACTCCAGTTAGGAATCTGCCCTTTAGTTTATTAAAAGCTGGTGAAACAATGGAGGGGGGTGCGGTTCAGGGGGGGGGGGGGGGGGGGGGGCACGTGGAGCAAATCAGGAAGCAGCGGGATGATGTCGTTACAGAGTTAGACGAGGAGATGCAGGGGTGGAGATAGAGGCAGGTATTCACGGCGGCTCAAAGCATTATAATCCCCCCCCCCCCGCGCTTCCGTACCTGTCATTTCCCCCTAATCCTAACCCCCCCCCCCCGCCACCGGTGTCTTTGATGCACCGGTTTTCTGGGGGCTCTACGACAGACAGTCTCTGGACAACAACTGTCTGCTCAGCCTGCCGGGTGAAGATCTGGCTTCATGCACACACCAGCATCTCAGCAACGTGTAGAGCAGCCAGAGCGCACAACACACACACACACACACAGCCCCCACGGCCGTGTGCTGAATCTGCATACGTGTACATGGAGGGGGGAAGGGGGGGGTTTATACATGGCCCCCCCACTGCTAAGAACAAAACGTGGTGACGCGGGATGAGAATTTCTGTTCTGCACAACATATGGCCGGACCAGTTGGGAGGCTTCACGGTGTCACTTCTCATAACAGATTGAGAGATGATGTCATTGTTTCACTTTTAACTCTTCAACTCAAGTCCTCATTATGACGTCTTTTTGCTCCTCAGGTCTCTTGTGCATCGCTTCAGTGAGGCATTAAAATCCCTAAAAAAGCCAAAGACATTCAATTCACAGGGAAATTGTTTCAATAAAAGCTTGAACAAATGAATCTTTCCGTTGAAATAGATTAATGGAATTTAATTTGTTGTCACAATGATCAGCAACAATTCAACACAACAATTAAAAAAAAACAATTAGAAATGTGATTTGAATGAAAGTACAGAAGTATTATCAGCCGAATGTACCATAGAATCCAAAGTTAAAAGCACTCTGTCAAATATTAATCTGCAAAGCAACTAATAATTGTAGTGTTCCAATAATTGTAGGGGAGTAAAATCTTACTGTGTGTCTGTGTGCGCGTGTGTGTGTGTGTGTGTGTGTGAGGCATCTTTCCCACGTAGCCTCTGAGAGAGACATTCCAATATCTGCTCTCCTTAAGCTTAGAATCATCGTCTCATAACTCCAAAGTCCTGAAGCTCACAACCGGCGGTAACGAGGCAACGAGGGATTGTGTCGTGGTTCTGCGGTTTGGCTCCCCAGATATTCTGAACCCAGACTGGATCTTTTTATTTTTCTTCAGCAGATTCTGCGCCATTCTTAAACAATCTGCCCTTCGGCGATGCGGCTAAAACTGTATCGAGAAAAAGGAAGTGGAATTCGCTCGATTTGATTTGCCCTACGACACGTGATATGTCTTTTATTAAGCAGCAAATGCAGAGATAGGTATCTGCACTTGATATGTGTGTAGTCACATATAACGCATTTTGGTTAATCATTTCATCATCTGCCCCCGCGGGGCCTCCAGCTTTGGCTCCATAATTAGTTTTGGAGTCCCGGGAACTCTGGTTTCTGGGTCGCGGGGGCGAAATGTGCCGTCTGGCTGCGGTCGTCTCTACGTGCAGACTGCAGTGCAATTATTGTAACACAGATGTGTTACAATAACTAACTCCACCAATTGGGATGCATGCACTTCTAGCACGGGACGGCTGTGACGCCTAATTACTGGACGTCTCGACTGTCCTCGGGCCTCCGCCCAAAAGAGCCCACTCTCGTTTCCTGCCTCGGTGGAGCAGAATATCTATTTCCCCGCTTGAAGCAGCAACAGTGCAGGCACTGTTTCCAAAGCTCGGATCTCTGGACAAGGGAACCGGTTCCATTATGTCACGGCAGCGGCTTGGGGGATGACAGAGCCTGGACCACTTAAACCTGATGTATGGAAGTTATAACCATGACCTCGTTCAGCTTCTTGTCCCAGACCACACGCACGTTTTAACAGAGATAAGGCAGCTCCTCCATGGATCAGACCTCAGAGGAGTGTTAAAGGAAGATGTGATGGAGGCAGAAACACGGAGAGGAACCAGTAGAGGAGGACGGCTGCACTTCTGAGAGGATTTATCTTTGTCTCCGAGTGGACAACGTTGTGGATTCCAAACCATAGATCCAAGAAGCGGGCCGTAACGATTCAGGGTTTGCTGGATGTTATATATCTGTATGAGATGGGGGGGGGGGGGGGCGGAGGGGGTGATCCCGGGATCCCGCTGCTGTTTGTGGACACCCCGGGGCTCTATAAATCTAAGTCCAGGGGCAGGTGTGGCTGAGCTGGGGGAGAGGAGGCCACACTGGGCCTTACCCTTCCCCAAACCTCCTGACCTCCTTTCACTTCTGCCTGCAGCAGGGAGACCACCGGGCATGACACACACACACACACACACAGACACACACGCAGTGCAGTAATGAACTGACTCACACAGATAGTATCTCCGTACGTTAACCCTGAGAGCCCTCATTATCTGAGACAGCTGCCATTCATAGCGATGTATTGATGTCACCGGCTTTTAGAAGCTCAAGCGCAGCATCCAGGAGAGACGGTAGTTATGGCGTGTGGTCACCTTGTAGTGTTTGCATTGCGATCAGGCTTCAGCTCCCAGCAAAACTGGCAGATGACAATCGGCCGAGAATCATCGCTTGGCTCTCTAAAAAGATTCGATTGTGAACCCAAATTACGAACTTTTCAGTAAGCTAAATCTTGTCCTGGTAGTCACTATGTGGATCACTGTCGCTACCTTGATTTGTTTTAGGTCCAGGACCTGTTGTCTGTTTAACATAAAGACATGTTCCGACCAGTGGGCAAAGGGTGCTTTAGGAAGACAATTGCATGTTCACATTGTGTACAGACCAAACTTACCAGGGGCAAGTCAGTATCACTCCATCAGGAGTAGGAGCACCGGGTCTCTTGGCGTGTAATGAAGGGGGTGGATGGGGGTGGATGGGGTGGATGGGGGTGGATGGAGGTGGAGGGGGGTGGATGGGATCGGAGGGGGGTGGATGGAGTTGGAGAGGGGTGGATGGGATCCCAAGAGCAAATTCTTAAGGATAGTTATTCAAGCAGAAATAAGACTGCACACGGATCAACTGACTGAAAAGATACAGGAGACTACAATACTTAAAGCAAAGTAAAGTCAGGTGTTAAAAGCCACAAGATTATTCAGGTATTTAAAGTATCTCAAATTTAGTATTCAATTTATTAAAATCTCGGGAGATGATAAAGATTTTGAGTTGAGTCTTCAAGCTCATTCGGTGCATGTGGGGAATAAAAGGAATGAGACGATGCCTATGCGTAACCATGGTAACGATGACTTGTGAGAATAACAAAGTCTAAACTCATTTAAAAACATTGATTGGGCCAAGCAACGGGAAACCGTATACACACTAACCGCGTCAAACGATGCAGAACTTTGTTGTTATACACCAGCTGCCTCATCTCGAGAGGAACAACCCTCTCGAGATGAGGAACAACCCTCTCTAGATGACTAGAGAGGAACAGCCTGCTCTAGATGAGGAACACCGCTCTCTAGATGACTAGAGAGGTACAACCTGCTCCAGATGAGGAACAACCCTCTCTAGATTACTAGAGATGCACAACCTGCTCTAGATGAGGAACAACAGTCTCTAGATGACTAGAGAGGAACAACAGCTCTAGATGAGGTACAACCCTCTCTAGATGACTAGAGAGGTACAACCCTTTTGAGATGAGGAACAACCCTCTCTAGATGACTAGAGAGGAACAACCTGCTCTAGATGAGGACTAACCCTCTCTAGACGAGGGCCATCGAGTGTACCAGTGGGCGATGAAAGGAGGGAATAAAAATAGCCGATAAGCTCGTAATGAGCTCCTCCTGCCGTGCCTCCATGTCCTCAGCAAGAGACATAAATCTATATCAGTATTTATTTTAACGGGCGATTTATTTTAAATGAGACTTTCCCTCACAAAGAATGCTACGGTTAAATTATTCTCCTTCGAAAGAAAAACATCGGGGCTCGGGGGGGGGGGGGACTTGATGCATTTTGTGATTTCAGTTTAAGTGAGAAAATCCGCCGGGTGGTGCAGATGTGACGATGGGTGCTGAAGCGGGAGCTCTGATAGAATGCAGTGTGCTGTTCATTTCCCCGGCTGTGCCACGCTCACAACCACGCACTCTTCTGGTCACGCACAAGGACACACAAAGGGGTTATTCTTCCCCCGGGTTGCATCCTAGAACACCTTTCAGTCAGAGTGAGGAATGTGGAATGCGGTCGACCCGAAAACGTTAATCGATAATAAAATATCTGGTTGTGTCTTGAGACCCTGACTATTAATGCGATTACCTGGAAATAAAAGTCTAACAAAAAAGGCATTTTGACTCGAATGAATGACCAGAAAAGGTCGAATGGGTTTAGCACAATGTGATATTTCCTGCTCATTCCGAGCAGGAAAACTCTGAAAAACACATTTCTCCTTGGATGCTTTTCTTAAGAAAACAAAGTGATACCTGAGTTGACGAAGGGCTGGCAGATAAATCACAGTAGTTTTCCACCTCAAAAATGCTAGTATTTGTAAGTTGTGCTCAAGTGACATTTCTCTTTATTGGACGTCACTGCAGATGTTTACACACAATCTAATTCTTGGGCTTTTCCGTAGTAAAGTTACCAAACACACAATCATGGATGTGCGTCGACAGACAAATCAACACGAAAAGCCCTGAGCACATATTCATAAGTACATCAGATGGGCAGTAAAACATAATCATTACGCTCCTTTCTGTCTCCAACTCGTGCGCACACACACACACACACACACACACACACACACACACACACACACTTTTCTCCTTAATTCACAACACATTGCCTTTTAGTGAGTCCGGCCTCAACACGAACCCTATTGTCGGGAGCACAATGAAGTTATAAAAAAAAGAAACAACATGAGTAGGCCTACATGTGCTGCGGGACTGGCGGAGGGCTCTCAGTCGCTCGTTGGGAGAGCGATTTGTTTTAATGAAAAGGTCGATCCCGGGGAGAGGGGAGGCTCCCGGCCGCGGGCTGTTTGTGCTCGGCTTAAGTTTCTCCTGTGTAATAAAAGCACCAGGACTTGTGTTTCTACATGTGTGTGGGTGCGCAGGGGAGACTGAGGAGCCAAAGCCAGCAGCCAGATTCACATACCCACACACGCACAAACACTCATCAAACAGTCAGTCACCCCACCCCGCAAAAAAAACTGGCAAAGGTATCTGCGTCTACTAAGGGAGCGTGAGATCTTTTCTGCAGCGCTGAGACCACGAGACTAGTTCCTTCGGATGTTCCAATAGAGAAAACACACACACAACATTGCATGCGTATCCGTTCTTTATCGGTGCTTGTCTGCCCCTCACAGACCGCGCTGGATCCAGACCTGCGGGGGATGGAGCGGCCCGACGGACCGACCCCCCTACCAGCGTTCGGCCTGCAGCTAGTACCGACCAGGAGAGAGACCCCGGCAGAACCCACAGGCGTCCTTTTCAGGTCCCGATCATGAAACCTTTCGTCTGCGCGGGCCCCCCCTGCGGCCTGCCGCTGCTGCTGGTCCTGGTGTGCTGCCCCCTGCTGGGCCTGGTCCAGTCCGCCGGCGGCAGCAAGGCCGGCGATAACGAACACCCGCACCTGGGAGACGCCGACCCGGAGCGCTGCATGAGGCACCACTACGTGGAGACCATCGCGCATCCCATTTACAAGTGCAACTCCAAGGTGAGGACGCGTCGAGTCGTTTGTTACCGATCAATTTGTTCCAAAGGAGGAATCCAAGAACTCCCCCCCCCCGAAAAAAGATCTTGACTTGTCTCTTGAAGGCCTCCTTCCTGGCCGCCTCTCTCTCTCCGTCCTACGCGCAGGGGCCGATGACGCATTGAGTCACGCGACGGTCGTCCTCGGTTCTTTGGTCTTTTTTTAATGTCCTGCCTGTGAGCGCGTGGAGCAGGTGGCCCCCGACCACAGCGCCGCTCGGGGGAAGCGAGGGCCGAGCTGCACTCGCAGCACCGGGGAGGCTTTCTATTACCGCAGACAGACAGAGAAGTGACGCCTGGCTCAGAGGTCGGCGTGCAGGTCACACAGAGTCCACCTGCTCCAGTGTGTGTGTGTGTGTGTGTGTGTGTGTGTGTGTGTGTGGAGGCGGGATAGACATTCATGTGATGTGCTTTCATCTGGTGCCCAGGCACAGAGGTTTAAATAGCCAACAGCTTTGGATATTGTTGATCTTTGTTTTGGAGAAAAGGGCTCATAGCTGTGGACGTGCAGGAGAACGAGTTATGAGACAAATCGACAGACAACGTTGACGCGTTTCACAGCAGTCAATGTCGCAAGTTAAGAGTGAACGTGCTGAACCTCTAGTTCATAAGCAGTCATTATGAATGGTTTGAGAATACTTGTTGTATCATAATTATGAGTATCAGCAGTATAAATCAAAGAGCAACTTCAATCCCTCAAATAAAGGAAGAAGTTAAATGTACTCATACAGAATAATGAGACAAATAATAATGATGAAAATAGTATAAATGGTATGATGAAGATGACAATAATAATCATAACAAATACGTGTCTTGTGTTTGCTGTCGATTAATCAAATGAAGCCTCGTCTGATCCAAAGAAATGTTCCTATTGTTTCTAACAAGCAGGACATTACTTTTCTTATTATGACATTTAGTTTTAATAATGAATTGTTCGTCCAGCTGGTGATGAATGAAAGGAGGAGAGGAGGCAACAACCCTCGTGAACTGTGTGTACATGCATGTGTGTGCGTGCGTGTGTGTCTGTCACTCTGCCCGCGGCCCCAGACGGGGCACACGGGGGGGTCGACACCCAGCAGCTGACAGAAGGACATGGCGCAGGGGTCTGCAAAGGAACGCCACGCTCACAGCACTAATCAGGCCGGCGCCCGCCCGCCCGCCGCCCGCCTGCCCGCCCGCGTGTGCGATGGGAGAGCTTGACGCGGTGGTTTTTGTCCCCTCCGCACACGCACGTTCCTCTGGAGGAAAAGGGGTCTCGGCCACGTGACCGCCTGTGGCCTCTGAGGTCAAGGAGTGACCTCCGTGATGTTTCCTTAACCCTTTCTTTCTTCTCTCCCGCACGCTGTGTTGCAGATGGTGCTGCTGGCGCGCTGCGAGGGCCACTGCAGCCACACCACCCGCTCCGACCCGCTCATCTCCTTCAGCTCGGTGCTCAAGCAGCCCTTCAAGAGCACCTGCTCCTGCTGCCGGCCGCACACCTCCAAGCTGAAGGCCGTGAGGCTGCGCTGCGCCGGCGGCAACCGCATCACGGCCACTTACAGATACATCCTAGCCTGCAACTGTGAGGAGTGCAGCTGAGCGGGGGCGGTGGGGGGCGGGTGGGGGGCTCAAGACTCTGCAGATCCCTTTGGCCTGGGACTCACAGGCTTTCCAGAGAACTTGATAACGGACCCGCAGCCTGCGAGAGAACATTCTGTATGTGCATCCAATCAGAACAAGCATATTCCTCCCGCGCACGAGGCCAGACGCCACAAACCGCCGCCCCCAGGGGCCCCCTCGCAGGCGGAGACGCACCGCGCTCCTCACAGTAATCCCCAACGCACACGCGCTCACCAACCGCAGTATGCTCGTTACTCGTAATGTCTGTGCCAACCCTCCGCCCGGCGCCACGCGACAAGAGAAACACACAAACAAGGAAAACACGCGGGCGTGAAAAGGACACGTGGTGGAGCTACAGAGAGGCCCCCCCCACCCGCTCCTCCGCCCAATAAGTCTGGAGCCCCCCCCCCCCCCCCACCCCGGAGACCCGTCGGGTGGAGAGGAGAGCGAGGAGGCGCCCGGGAGGCCGCGGCGGCCGCCGATGGGCCGTCGGTGTTTCCACGTTAAATGTCATGTGTTCTATTTGCATCTCTGTGATGCTCCTCTGCGTTCATGGACCTGCAGCTGCGTTGTGAAAAGCTCTTTGCCTGCTGCGTCGCGCCGCTCGTGTCCGTCTGCCTCATGAATACACAACTTCAAAATCACACGTGATTTCTTCCAGGTGTCTGTGTGTGTGTGTTTGTGTGTCTGTGTGTGTGTGTCAGGCTCAAACATCGGTGCTTTTGGTCAGTTTATCTGGTAATTAGTTGCTTCTATCGTGAAATAAAATTAAAAAAACTCACCCGAAAAAATGAATACCTCCCCCACTACTGAATATTTGAGGACTTCCCTGATTTTATCATGTTTTATTGTCAATTTGAGATTTCAGGTCAGGTGGTTAAATTATTCATGCATCCAGTAAAAAATAGACATTTTCAAAATGCTTAAATTCAGTTTAATTCTCATCAGAAAAATTCAACTGGTTGGATCCTGAAGTCAACATTTGAGGTTAGTGGCTGAAACGGAGGATATTAAATAGTGGATCATAAATTTGTCTCTTGCCTCTTTAAACCTCTTTAATAAACTATCCTGTCATTTATTACTGTTTCCCTCGCTGGCCTTTTTAAGTCTGAATCTGAAGCTTCAACATGCATCATTTCATCATCTGGATCCAGCACAGAAACAATGGACCCTCCAGCCAACGTACATTTAAAACGCATTGTAGGTGGATTTCATGAACATCTTTAGGATTAGAAGCAGTGGTCAAATACAGCTGCAGTGGGAGTTTTCCACCATCTTTCCACCGGAGCCGAGAATGTGAAAATAAAGTGCAGCAGCAGGAGGCTAATGAACGTGGCGGTTGTGAAATCAAGGCGGACTAATTTAAAAGCAGTCCTTCGCTCGGCCGCCTGCGGCACAGACGTTGAACGCAGAGCAACTAACGCAACATAAAAGAAAATTGGAAATAGGCCTCATAACAATAATGAATCCAACGTGAGCCAGAGACCTGGATCCGTGTGTGGATTAACCAAGTGACCCGTTGAAACAATGCAGAGCGAGGCGGTTGGTTTTGTGGGCCCTTTGCATCAAGCACACTTTATCCATCCTGGGTCCTAATCACAACCGTGGAACACAGAAACCGTAAAATAGGCCCGTTTCGTTTTTACGGCCTGCTCGTTAGGGAGAAACTCACATCTGTGTGTCTGGCATTCCATTAACGCGCCAGACGTGACACGTGGACGGCGGCCATGAGCCGGACGGTCGGCCTGTGTGTGTGTGTGTGTGTGTGTGTGTTTGTGAGGTTTGTGCTCAGCCGTCAGCACGCGTCCTCCTGAGAAGACGTGAGAGCAATAATGTGAGCGCCGTTGGAGCTTTTTTAGTGTGAGAGCGGAACAGGAAGGATCATTTTTCCTGTTTTCATAACCTTTTATCCGGCGCGGTAAAGTGTGCGTGAGCGTGACAGCTGAGCCTTCAGTGTGACTGGCGGGGAGCAGAGGTGAGACGATTGACACGACGTGTCCGGGGGGACCGCGTCCAAAAGGCCTCAACGCCATCAATGCCGAGGTGTCCGAGGTAATCGTTACCTGACATGTCCTGACAATGACAAAGGGGACATTATTGTCTCACTTTGTGGAACACTGGTGACGTAATATTAATATACATCGTTTAAAACAACATAATAGCTGCAACATAAACCTAAAGTGAATGTCTTGCAGAAACACACACCTTTTTATTTGAGCGAGCTCTCCGCTCTCATTCATCCGGAGTATTTATCAGTACGACCAGGAAAAGAATATGTGTGTGTTAAGACAAAACGTGCCTGTGAAGTCCAGGCGTGTGCTGCCCTCTGCTGACCGGCCGCACAGTGCCTCCGCGTGTCACATGTAGAGAGGATGAAACAAGGCATTGTGGGTTGCTTTTCACTTCCTCTATTCACTCACTCGGTGGTTTGTCCCCTGCTGAGTCTCGGATTAAACCAATTACTTTGTTATCTTGTTGCTTTTTTTCTAAACTGTGTTTCAGCTCCTACACAAACACAAACACACACACACACGTTGTCATGGTGACGTCTCCACCCTCCCCCACCGTCTCTGGTCTTAGTGCATGTGATGCTGTCCTGCCTCACCTGTGCACCTGTGCACCCGAGAACAAGACACAAAGACAGGTAGACACAGTGTGTACGTAACGGGTGCAAACATACAATTTTGTGTATAAAAATACATTCTTCTCTCGCTCAAGATCAGCACACGACAAATGATTATTAATGTATTAATTAATATTATTAATTATTATTTGACTAATTAGTTATTAAGTCAGATTATTTTACAGAGAAATAAAAAATAAAATAAAAAATAAAATTTTTGGGGCGATGAATCCACCAAGACAATAACAAGCAGCCACAGGGGGGCAGCAGGAATCCACCAACACCAACGAGTTCATGCCGAGGTTATGATGAGAAAACCACTGCTGATTCGTTCAGTGATCGTCTGTACAGTCAGGAGGTCAAAGGTGAGTCACCGTGTTCCTGGAAAGGGGAAATGGTAAATGGTAAATGGTAAAGGGGGGGGGGGCCTAAACTACATGACTTGTGATGTAACCATTCCGATGTTTGTTTTTTATCATAACCGGCTACTGTATAAACTTTGTATTACCATCACACTGTACAGGCCTGCTGACTGGAAGCAGACGGGCTTTTCGACACTAACGGAGAGAAATATTCATGTTCAAACTATTCAGATTATGAAAGTATTCGGAATAGAACGTTTACTACTGAATACTATCCAGTTATTAGCATATGTCACCAGCCCGCGGCCCTACTATCAGTGGGCGGAGTCCAAAGGGCTGGGTGGGCGTGGCCACCGCTTTTAATACAGATGCGCACCCCCGTGCGCTCCGGGTTCAGCCACGAGCGGACACTGCACAGCTGGGGGGGGGGTGGCGGGCCGCGAGAGACACACGGACCAGACAGCACCATGACTGCACCCGGCAACACCTACGACGTGATCGTGGTCGGCGGAGGAATATCCGGTAGGTCCCGCAGCGCGAGCGAAAACCGATCCGCCCGCTGCGCGCGCGCGCGCGCAGACGGATGGAGTCGACGCTGGCGCCTGCAGCGCTGCGCTTTGTGCGCGCCAGACCAGCCAGCTGTTGCACAACACCCCCGCGCGTGTGCCGTCGGCCAGGAGTGAACGCGGCGGATTTCTTCCGTTCCTCTGCTGGTGATTGAGAACGTGAATCCCGGGTGATTCTTCTCCGCTTCCGCGAGGCGTCCTGCGCTCGTCCGCCCCGCGCGCGCCGCATGTTGAGTAACAGACAGAGCCCACTTTGTATTACATAAGAGCAGCGGGGGGGTCTGGTGCATGGTGGGGTGTATCGGTGACTTCTGTTGCATGCTTCCCATGAAATGCTTTTTCATCTGCTTCGGTTAGTTTGTTGATTATAAGCCGCAGGGTCTCCGAACAATAACCGTTTTAGTTCTATTGTGTCCTCTGTGAATCAAACACTACAATGTTTAATACCGTGATATCGGTAATGCAATGATACTTGTTACGTAATAATACAGCCACAGTCTACGGATCCTAGAAAACATGCATACATTATTCTACTACAATGCAGCGTTTAAAACCAATAGTATCGTCTCACAATATCATTATAATATCAATATGTTGCCTTTTAAACAACCCCTCTTTATTTCATTAATTATATTGACTGTCTGAATTACAGCCTTTTTTATTTAGCCAATAATTCAGAAGATCACATATTGCTCCAGGAGTATAAAAGTGTTCCCACTCCCACATGAATTTGATTGTTTCTCTTATTCAGCTTTTAGACCAAGTGTAGAAGTGGGAAAAATTGCCTTTGCTTTCTTCACTGTTCTCCCCTTCCGCCTTTTTGCTTCTTCTACTTTATGAATAAATAACTAAATGTGAGCAGGATTCCTTCCTATGAGTATCTCGTATAACGTGTGCAGATGAGCGGTCAAGCCTTTCAAAAGCTCCTCAGCATCACGTTTTCTGTGCTTCATAAGCGAGAAGTCGAACACAAACACTTTATATCGGAAGAGGACGGAAAGCTGCGTCTGCCCCGTCGTTTGTGCGCCGCTGTTTGGTCCCTCACCGGTTTATTTATAGGCCTCCAGAAGTAGAGGAGGACGAATATAACTCTCATGAAGTGAACACACACTTTGTGAGGTGGCGACCCGTCATCCACACACCTCTGAGTGGACCACCGTTCACTACATGAACATCCTTCACGATGTCTACTGAGGGAACAAAACAAAAGGAGAATTTGGTTCCGTTTCTCATAAGACTTCTTTACAACCTGGCCATTAGAGAGAATGCAGGTCCGGGGGACGGAACCCGTCCTTTCGGGTCCTTTCGGGTCCTTTCTCTCCCCCCCTGAATTCTCTTTCTGTCCGACTGCTCGGCCTGGACGTCCGTCCCCGTGTCAGACTGAAGAATTTAGGTCAGTGTCAGCTTGAATCCCAGTCAAACAGGGGACGCAAATGCTACAGAAAAAAGGGAATTGAATGAAATCAGCAGACAGCCCCCTCCCCCCTCCCCCCCAGTCACATTAGGACCTTCTAATTACACAATTTGTTTCTACTGCTGCCCTTTGCCGGCTTGCAATGAGGTCCACATATAACAATCACTGTCCAATCGGAGGACGGGTGAAGCGTGGGGAGAGGGAGGGCTCCCTCCGCGCCCCCACCTCCCTCTCGTTCCATGGATGTTTGTGGGCCGCTGTCACTTTGCCGCCCGGCGGCAGGACTGTGTCCCCGGAGGCGCAGCCGGCTCTTTCTGAGAAAACGTTAAGCATTTCTGACAGCTCGTTTATCAGGCCAGCAGCAGGGAGGTGGTGGGGGGACGGGGGGACGGAGAGGGGGGCACGAGGGTGTCCGTACAGTGAGGTAAAGGGGCTTCACACACAGTACACACAGGCAGAATTCACCCGGGGCTAAGCCCCGCCCATCACTCGCGGACTGGCCAATCAAAGGAAAGAATTGGCCCTATGGTCCAGCAACTGTCCGTCTCCGCTCCAGAGACCCTCCTCCTGTGGTTCCAGATCTTCTTCATCTTTAGGCTGGTTATATGGATGTTGGATGCGCTCGGGATCAAATGTTGAGCTGAACCTGTGTAGCTTCATCAGCATTAGCAGAAGATGTAGCACATGCTTTATTAGCGTTAGCATTGCTGTGCGACTCAAGCTTCTGGAGGGAAAGACATGTTGCTTTTTGTGTTTTCATCTCCGAGCGAAATCCTTCAAACGCATATTTCATATTTCATATATTGCTGGTTTGTTGTTTGTTCCTCCAGGGAATGCAGTTAGTGACAGTGTGGACTCCATTCATTGACTTGCTGTATCTTCATGTTCTTTAAATTGTGTACATATATATACGTATATGAAAGTAAGTAACAAGGTTGATTTGAGTATTTGAATACGGATAAAGTTATTCGAAAAAAATCTAATATTCCGATTTTGTGACATTTGTGAACAGAGTTAGGAAGTATGCAAATCCAAAACGAGCACAACAATCAAGTAAAGCGAAACACATCGCATCGGGGACCTCCTAAACGTTTTGGGGCCTCGCTTGCCGTGGCCACCAAACTGAGCTGATCTGCACGTGTGCCCGTGTGAACCGTCTAACAACCACCAACGCGTCTGCAGTCCTGAAACGCCACTTTCTGTATCCAGCTGTGCAAACATCATCGTCGTCGTCAGATGGACACCTCGTGTTTGCTTCCATTTGTCATTTTTTGTCGTGCCTGCGCCTGTGTGTTAGTCGTGTGTGTGTGTGTGTGTGTGTGTGTCGTCGTGAGAACTGTGCAGCTGTAATCTCAGCTGTGGTCGCCAATTATAAACGATGACACTGATTGTGGTGAAAAGCCGCATGAAGCTGAGGGATGTTTGATGAATGCTTTCAAACTCCCTCCCTGACAGGCCGACATGTTCCGTTTTACTTTAATAACTTACTTTAAAGGCGTTAACGAATGACAGGGATCAGCTTTATTCTGTAACGTATTCACAGTAGCGTCGTTGCACATTGTTTTCCCCTCAGAGAAAAACGAGTATCTCCCCTTTCCGCTCTTTCTCACATCCGTCTGAATTTCGATCCATCCTTCAGCCGTCTGCGTCTCCGCCGGGAACACGAGAAAATTGGATTGCTGCGCGTCTCGTAAACATCTCCCCATCCGGATCAATATGCAGCCTCCCAAGGGTCCCGATCCGAGTGGCTCGCTTGAGTAGATTTTAATGGGTTTTTTTTTTTTGTTTGGGTTCCTGAGGAAAGAACACTTCACGGTGGTGCAGAGAAAAAGGGACGCGGAACAACTTATTATTGCAGAACAGCGGCGTTAAAATGTTATAATTTTATTTATTTATGTTATTTCCTCTTTTACGAGAACAAAATGTGGGAAGATTTGTGTGGGACTGAAGAAATTGCCATGCGCCGTTGATGTTAGCATGGCTATTTAAAAACGCCGTCCTTTGTCGTCGTAGTGCATTTACCTGCATGGCCCCTCGTAGCGAAGGACAGAACCTGGCGGAAGCCATTGGAAGGGAAAAGCCAAACGGCAGGTGAGCCAGACGTGGAAGGAGGCAAACCGAGAGCCGAGCCGCGGCAACGACATCGATCCTTAAAACACGATTAGACACGAGCCGACAATCAGACAACTAGACGTCTGTGAAGAAAGCGCGTTGAAATCGCACAAATAATCATATTTGATCAATATATTTGATGTCTTGTGTGTGTGGTTTTGTGGTTCTGCAACTAGGCGTGTGTTTGTGTGGATTGACTAGAGATGGAGGGGAGTCAGTGCAGAAACACAAACACACACACACACACACACAGTATACAAATGGAATTTGTTCCTGCCAAGTGGCTTCATCTTAACAATTACTGTCGTCAGGGAAACGGTGTCTGCCCCTATTTGTTTTCCCAGCACAGAGAGTGAAAAGGCTCAGCATTGCTGATCTGCAGAGAAACTCGCGCACCTCAAGGGTCGACGTGTGAGTAACGAGCGTTTCTGAAAGCCAACCAAAAAAAATACAGTTTTAAGTGATTATTATTGTATTATAAGTTATTCATTCGCCATGTGAAAACCTCGCGGCGAGAGACTAGACTCTGGTCTCCACCTGACATGTTTACACATGTTTCACTAGACAGTCAGGTCAACCGGAGCCCCGAGGTGCTGAGGTGGGGAGGAAGATCTGTGATCTTCTCCCAATAAGCTTATGGATGTTGGTCTGAAGGGTCGCGAGTCCTTCTTCTCTCTTCTTTTGGGCTTTTCTGCATGAGTTGAACTCCGATCCGCCCCTTGGTCTCTCCTCTCTGCTCAGCATGTTGATTTTTCCAGTAGTGAAGCTCATTCCTCTTCTTCATTCGGCCGGTAGATTAAAGTCCCGGGGGGAGGGGGGCTTTGAAGGTAGAAAGCTTTATGCTCCATACTGACCTCTTTGTCGTAGTCATACGAGGTTTCTTTGTTCAGGAAAATGATGTCTCCATTACGACAAACAAGCTCTACGATCAAAGCGACAGGATGCCACTTTTTGCAGAGATGGAAGAAGAGACGCACGCGGAAGCTCTTTGTTTTCCAAGCCGAGTGCAGGTAACGGCATCAGTCCACCGGGGACGGATTTGCGAGCCTCCTCCCGTCAGGGCGAGTGTCTTTCTCCGTGTTTGTACAGGGAGAGCTAATACGGGACAAACTATGTTCAAACGTATACAAACTTTGCCAGCTGCAGCAGAGCTCAGCAGGATTTGGACGGATTAGAGAATCCGTTGGCAGCAAAGATACACAATTTTGGGATGGCTCAAATCCGAAGAACCAAACATTTTGCCCGAGACTTTCTTTTTGTTCCCGTGATCAGCATGTTCGTAATTTGTGGAGGAAGCGTTTTTCAGATCTTCTTCTTTGTGGTCAAGATTTCTTCTTTTACTTGAATCCACCCGTTCCTTTGTAAAGTAAACAAACGCCACCCGAGCAGCACATATTTCACATTCCGGACGGGCACCGCTGTACGCGGGAGGAGGAAGTGAACCGTCCCCTCACGTCTCCGTCCGTCCCTCCGCAGGTCTGAGTGCGGCGAAGCTGCTGAAGGCCAACGGGCTGAGGCCCGTGGTGCTGGAGGCCAGGGACCGGGTCGGAGGTCGTACCTTCACTGTGCGGGTGAGACCAGCAGAGCTGACGCTCCTCCAGATGTGTGAAATGTTTACATACCAGTGAAAGCTTTTTATAATCAACAGCAAACCTTTCAGCATGATCGCTGTATTTTCTTCCTCAGAATAAGGAGACAAAGTGGGTGGACCTGGGCGGAGCTTATGTCGGGCCGACTCAGAACCGCATCCTGCGATTGGCCAAAGAGTACGGCATCGAAACCTATAAAGTCAACGAGCAGGAGAGTCTGGTGCACTACGTCAATGTGAGTATTTCTTTTAGCGTGGCATGAACCACGAAACACCACGATTCATTTTTAAAGATTAAAGAAGAAGGATTAAAGAAATCAGAGGTAACTTGTGTGCAATAAAGGTGCTGGTAGTTGGAGTCTTTATGCTAAGCTAAGCTAACCAGTTGCTGGCTGTGGCTTGGTGTTCATTCTACCCCCCGCTCCCCTCCACCTTTCTGCTCTCCAGCCTCAGTGACTGGAGATGCACATCTAGGCCTGAGGGATCTCTAATGCGGTTTCTCTTCTCTCTGAGTGGTTGAATGAACCACAAAGCAAAAAAAAAGAAGGAAGAAGGAGACGCTGAGGCCATCTTTCTTCTTGTTATTCTTTGCGCCATATCTCATTAGTGTGGAGGCACCGCTGTCCTTAACACAGTTGTTGTTCCTCTACCTGATTTGATTTGCCAATGCAGCCTTGTACCCTTACTGTGTGTGTGTGTGTGTGTGTTTGTGTGTGTGTGTGGTGAGCTTATCTCATCATAGACTGTGTAACTGAATTGCAACTTCAGAGATGGACTTTGAGCTTCTTGCCTGCGGGTCTAAGGCACAAACGTACATCCACAAACACACTTTTTACTACGTGATGTAGAAAAACCTGCTGCGATGCCCAACAGAATTACACACAAACAACTGAGCCATGAAACAAGAATAAGCTCAATATTAAAGGCTCTAAGCATTTATATAGGGTGATTGTATTAGTTCTGTCTGCAGAATGTAAACGTGTTGCATTATGGACCCCTGCGTCTCCGCTCCGATATGAGAGATTTCCACCACAGCGTCACCTTATCGATTGTGCACCGTTTGCCGAACTGCCCTAAAATCAACCAACGCTCAATTTGTGACATCTTCACTCGCTCTCGATCATTTGGGCATTTCCTTGTTGCTCAAGTGAAGTTGTTCACCTTGCAAACGGTGGAAAACCGCCGATCCCCTGCAGCTCTTCAGCTAACGACTCGGTGTGTCCGTTTCCCTCTCAGGACACCAGATCCCGACTGAGGACAAACAGACCTCTGTGCTGTGATCCGGTTACGAGACATATTTCAGAAACAAAGTTATCTAAATGGTCTTTATAAACTCTGTAACGGTTTACTTATTTGGTCTATTGTATTTCTCTGAGGACTAGTCCAGTTGAAGCGTGGTGTCATAGTCTTCAGGTTTCGGCCCCGACGCCTCAGCCGTGCTGTGAAACAGTGTTAATTTTGGCAGCTATTTTTGATTTAGTCTTAGTCTTTAGACAAAAAATGCATATTAGTTTTAGTCACATTTAGTCATTTTAATCCTTCTTAGTTTTAGTCTAGTTTTCGTCGCCGAAAACTCAGGACATTTTAGTCTCGTTTTAGTTGACGAAAACTAGACTAAAATGTCATTAGTTTTAGTCTAGTTTTAGTCGACTAAAACTAGACTAAAATGTAATTAGTTTTAGTCTAGTTTTAGTCCCATTTAATAGCCATATTAAACTCCTTTTCTTCCCTTCTCAGGCCCAGGACCCCCTGTGTTGTGTCTACAGCTGCATAATAGTCTAGCTTGCAGTACTTGGTTGTCCATCAGATGTCCCTCCACAGGTCTATAGGAGGGTCGGCAAACGTTTTGACTCGCGGTCCACAATGGGTTGTAAAATGTGACGGAGGAGCCGGGCCAAGAACAAATGGTTGAAGTGTCTGTGTGAGCGAATATAAATGACATGTAAAAAAGCATTACATGAAAGGATGTGGATTTTAACAAATAGCAAAGCATTTATTTGCAATTTAACAAATTGGCAAAGGTGTAACAACTTGATGAGGACCAGGGACCTAAACGCAACACTTTGTTGTGTTTGTTTAATTGCAACGCTTTTGACACGGTCACCTGTCACGTGTGGCGCCTCTATGTTGCTTAGTAACGAACGTACGGTGGCCGAGGCGGTTTAACGCCGTCTTCTCACGATGTGGCGCGTGAACTACAGTTGAAACGCGTGAGGCTTCAGAACCTGCAATGAGTTTATTACGTTAGACGCGTTTGTAGCGGAGCGTCTCATCCAGCCGAGGAAACGCTGCCTGCCGTCGCCAGAGAACAGAGCAGAAAGGTCCGACAGTCTTTAAACGGGTCTTCGTGTTTCTGTGAAGCAGCGCGGCTTCAGCCTGCTAACAGTCAGCTAACCCGAGACAGCCGAGCTAAACTAACGGAGCCGAAGCGTAAAATAGTCGTCGCGGTCCGTAGTCGGTGCACAAGAACCACCGCTGAACCGCTGCGCACGTTCTGGGTTGGTGGATGACGTCATCATGACGCGTACTTTGCCGGTCTGTTGTCTGTCAGCTGCGTGCGAATTTAGGGGGGAAAAGTATCGTGACTTCGTCAACCACCAACATGTTCGTCTCGTCTCGTCAACGAAAGTTTTAGTCTTAGTCTCGTCTTAGTCGTGAAAAAAAGGTTCGTTAACGAAACATTTTCGTCATAGTCTTCCAGAGCTGCCAACTTTTCAAAAAACCTTGGAGTGAGATTTTGTCGGGGGTGACCAAAATTTTGCCGCGCACGCAGCCACACACGTTGGTGGCTCAAATATCAGGAAATTGGAATTCATTTGGCGTAGTACCCATGTTGTACCCTGCATTCTGGTGGTTTGTGGGGCCCAAAGTCGTTGATAGGGGCGGCCTACTGGAGATGGACAACATTGGTTACATTCTGTGAAGCAAAGACATAGCTGATGGTCCACCCCCCGGACATTTTGGTTTAAGTAGATGTTATTTCATGCATTCTCGTGGATTTTTGGGTGGTATGCCTGAACTTATTCTGATTCATGTTCATCTGCTCATGACTTGTTGGGCCTTCTAGACTTGAGCTGAACATTCAACCAGAAAACTATTATAGCTGTGCCTCAATGACTGTCTATGTACCACAATATAGCCTAATTAATAGACCTGTGTTTAAGATTAGATTAGCAGCAGTGCTGCTTGTTATGACAGCTGAGTTTACATTCACCACTCAAAATCACACGCACAAACACAACAAATAATTTCTTTCAAGATTTAAAGTTTAAGAGAGTGAGTACTTAATTGAACCACATGTCATTAACATACCTTAGTCTTTGCTCCTCCTGAGTTTCTCCCGCGGTTGTGTCTGTTTGAAAATCTTCTTCTGTTGCTAACTTCGGGACTCTTTGGGGTAAATAGGATGTCTATGCAGCGAATGGGTTTACAGATGCGCTCCTTAGCGCCATCTATTGTCGGGGAGTTTGAAAAGGAACGAACGCGCTTCGGCCCAAAATCAGATTTTTTTTTTTGCCGTGAGAAATTGGTTGTGTGGCGTGAGTGCGTGTGAAAACATGCAAAAGCGTGTGTCACACGGCGAAACCGTGAGAGTTGGTAGGCCTGGTCTTCGTCGACGAAATTAACACTGCTGTGAGACGTCAGCGGCACGTCACTCTGCCCCGGCGGCGGTCGGAGGGTAACTGTGCCGTGCAGAGCGGCGGATAATGGAAGTAACACTTCCAAACAGATTACTTGCGAAAAGGTTAACCGCACAAAAATCACAAAACAGAGCTGTAATAATAGCGTATTTGTGCAGCTTTGTTCTCATTACATTATTAATCCAACAGTTACCTGTTCTTCACCACATGGGACTTTAAACCCGTGTGTAACTGCACTAGCATGCATGTGAAGGTTAACGCTGCTTCTTCCTTATCAGCCTACAGGCCGTACCGCTCTCGGCGGCGGTTTTATTAATGAGCTACCGCTATCAGAGACGGACTTTGATTAAATACCCTGGTTATCAGAGACTGGGGGGATTGTCCCTCCGCTCCCGCAGGAGTGTGCATGTTTGCACACTCGCAGGAACCACAGATGCTTATTGTGCTTTATTTTTAGTTTATGACACTCCCAGATAGCGAGAGGTCCCTTATCTTTTTCCCATGTAGCCTGCCTTTTGTATGAAAAAATAATTAACCGGTAGCCTCGATAGAGGCATCAGGAGCAGATTCACTTTTCAGGAGATCCTACCTTCGGTTGGGCCCGTGGTTCATGGGGCCTCATGTGACGCATCGATACGCCTCACGTCAACGCGGATGTCTGCTTACGACTCCCAAAGAACACACGGTTTGAGTGGGAACCCGGAGAGAAGGAGACGAGCGTCACTCCCTCCAGATATCTATCGCCCGTGTCTCCATCCAGCATCATCAGATCATCAGTGTGAGGAAACAGATGCCTCCCCCCTTACCACCCTCCTCATTCCGCATCCCCTTGGCCGCCGTCACCATGGCGACGAACCTGTTGCTACTCTGCAGCTGGCAGTTCTGAGCAGGGCGGCGATCTGATCCCCGATCTGCCGATTGGGGGGAAAAAAGCAGCCTGACCTCGCAGGGCCCAAAAGGTCGGCAGTTTTGGGTGGGGGGGGCTCCCATGGGTTATTTATTATTACTTCATGTGCAGCATGCAAGCGGACCCGGTTCGTCACGTCGAAACCACACAAAAAAAAGTGTTGCAGCCGAAAAGAATCTGAACCAAAAGAAAAAAACTGCGTTGACAGAACGTATCCGCCCTGTTTCTCCTCAGTGGTTCCTTGCATGTATATTCTTTCGCAATACATACTGCACGCTCTGTTTGGTCGTTCTTTTGAAAGGCTAATGTCTACAAATGATTTTTCCATGTTTTTGTGTGAAAGTTCAAATGTTTGGGAGACTGAATGAACAAAATAACATTCAGAGGAAACGTGAAAAGGCATAATTGAAGGCTTTGTACGGATGTGGGACAGACTGAATCTCCCATAAAACGTCAGCAACTTAAATGCCGATCCCGGGATACTGTATACAATAAGAAGCCCTTATGGGCCGATCGAACCAGACACAAAGGCATCTCCGTACGGAGCACCGCCTGGCACAAAAAACACAACTAAAACGACCTTTAAGCCGGGTTGGTTCTGCACGTACCTATCTGAGAGTTTGATACAACCTTGACCCTTTGGAACCTTTTCCACGCATTTGTAAATGAATTCACTGGTTGAGCAATAGTCCAAACTTGATGACTTCCTCTTTAATCAGCTGGAAACTGTTGCATAACTGGCCCGTAAACCAGCTGTTGAAGTACTCCCTGCACAGCTGCAGGCGAGCAAACATCAATGTTTCACTTTGACCCAATTCAGGAATTCACCTTTAAAGCAAGTTGCTCATAAAGAGCAGTCGACAACTGATGACTATAATAAGATGTATTTTCATATCGTATGTGTATGTGCCGTGTAAATTGTGTCCATCAGGGAAAGTCGTACCCGTTCAGAGGCTCCTTCCCTCCCATGTGGAACCCCATCGTGTTGTTGGACTTCAACAACCTCTGGAGGACAATGGACGAGATGGGCAAGGAGGTAAAGCGAGAATCCCCCGGGTTGATTTGCTTTTACCCTCCGAATGTTGCCCCTTGGCTGAATGTCCTCCTCTTCCGTCTGCCTCCCAGATTCCCAGGGAGGCTCCCTGGAGAGCTCCCCACGCCGAGGAGTGGGACAAGATGACCATGGAGGAGCTGTTCGCCAAACTGTGCTGGACCAGGTAGCCGAGAAAGGATGGGATTGGATTAAGGCAAACAAGAGGGAGAAGTCAAGATAATAATATGACCTTTAGAAAGTTAAATTCATCTTTAACAATGTTCATTCTGTATTTTTCTCAAAATATGATGAGTGATCATCAGGCTGTTTTCATCCACACAGAGACACAACGAGCTCTTTTCACGTAACGCCTTTATGCTAGTAAAAGGACTCAAAGGTTTATGAATGAAAAACTTAAACTCGTCTCTTTCTCGATCGAAGAACCGCTCGCCACTTTGCCAAGCTGTTTGTCAACGTCAACGTGACCTCTGAACCCCACGAGGTGTCGGCCCTGTGGTTCCTTTGGTACGTGAAGCAGTGCGGGGGAACCATGAGGATCTTCTCCACCACCAACGGAGGACAGGTCGGTGTCTCCGCGCGTCCACATCTGAGACTTATGGGACATGCAGAAAGGCAAATTACAAAGCAGTCGCTTTGAAAAAATCGGGGAGTGGGGGCGGTGCAGACCGACAGAGATGCGTTCACTCCTGCAAACCAGGAAGTTGAGCCTGTCAGAGACAGAGAACCTGCAGCCCCCGAAAATTCGCCTCAAAACGCTGCCGTTTGCTGACGATCAGCCGCACTATGAGTCAAACAACAGCTGTTTCCCTGGAACATTCCGGCTCGGTGCTTTCTAAGGAGGGTCCCTGTTGCCTTGGCCCGCTGAGGACGGGGATTGTGTTTAGGTAAGCAGGGCCAACTCTGCTGTCATGTCCCGTTGGCGCATGCACGAGTGTGTGTGTGTGTGCACAGTACACACAGAGCTTATAACGTGACGATGACCAGAAGACGAGAAAACCCCTTTTCTGTGGAGGGAAAACGCGAGATATGAGCAGAGAGAAGCGTCCGCCGGGCATAACCTTTTAGATTTACTTCTATCTCGCTCTACGCTGTGAAATTTGGTGAGGCATGCTCTGTGATCTTCACTTTCAAAAAAGAACAGCGTCCTTTAAAAGAACGAGACAGACGCGCATTGTTTCACTGCCAGGAAGCAGTCGGGTTTAGTTCAGGTTTTCAATGGCGATCGGCAGGCGAGTTCATCCCAACCACACAGTGTTTGTAAGGAGAGCAGAGAGATGTCACTCTGAGCATATGGGAATGAGTGGCATTCGACAGGAGGACGCATCAACAGGTCTTATGAGCTCGAGTCCCGGCAGTGCAGTTTTTGTCGTACTATAGAAGCAGTTTGCCCAGCGGAGCTTACAGAGAACCTCCTCCTCTCTCCGTCCACCTGTGCAGGAGAGGAAGTTTGTCGGCGGCTCGGGTCAGATCAGCGAGTACATGGCCGAGGAGCTGGGGGAGCGAGTGAAGCTGGAGTCGCCGGTGTGCAGGATCGACCAGAGCGGAGACGCGGTGGTGGTGGAGACGCTGGACAAGCAGACCTACACGGTGAGCGCACCGCGCTGGAATAAGGACAGATGTTCTTCTGGGGGTTTGTTAACATCACACAGTGAAACGAACAAAAACGAACCCACAAAATCTGTGAATTATTCAATTATCTGCTATCAGGGAATGTCAAAATATATGACAGGGGGCAGAACGAGTACTTTAAGTTCATGTTTTTGTTCTTCTTCCAGCACTGCAGCCATATTTTGTCTGTTTCTGTGACATCATTTAGTCCTGAGAGACGAGAACAAATTCAACATTCCAACTCGTGCCGGCCGTATGATTGTGTGCTGCCCCCTGCTGTCGACCTGCAGACCACGTGACCCCCCCCGGTCCCGTCTGTGGCTTCACCTCTCTGTTTCCGATGCGTGTCTTTGTCCCAGGCCAAGTACGTGATCCTGGCCACGCCCCCCGGCTTGAACCTGAAGATGCACTTTAGCCCCGAGCTGCCGCCGCTGAGGAACCAGCTGATCCACCGCGTGCCCATGGGCTCCGTCATCAAGTGCATGGTCTACTACAAGGAGAACTTCTGGAGGAAGAAGGGTACGCCGGAGGACGGGGGAACGGCCGAAGTATGTGTCCTATCGCACGTCTCACGCTCTTTGTTCTACACCTGTGCGTCGCCAAGGTTACTGCGGCACCATGGTGATCGAAGAGGAAGACGCCCCCATCAGCCTGACGCTGGACGACACGAAGCCCGACGGGGCCGTGCCCGCCATTATGGGGTGATCATATTAAGCGAGATGATGTCATCAATCAATCTGGCCATGTGGCGCACACAGCGCAGTTAGTTGTGAGTCCACGCCTTCAGTGGCATCTATTTTTAGTGGATCATTTCTCTCTCCTCCAGATTCATCCTCGCCCGCAAGTGCAGGAAGCTCTCGGGTCTGACCAAAGAGGAGAGGTAGGAGGCCGCCGGACGCGACGCGGCGGGGGAAGGCCGGTTCGACCCACTAACACGGCGCGTTCTTGTTTGCCTTCAGGTTGAAGAAGATCTGCGAGATCTACTCCAGAGTTCTGGGCTCAGAAGAGGCTCTGCATGTGAGTGTGGGCGCGGGGCGGTGGAACGCGGGGCCGCCGCAGTGGAAAGTGCGTCGCCGGGCTAAACCCATTTCTTGTGTCCACTTGTGTCCGTCAGCCGGTGCACTACGAGGAGAAGAACTGGTGCGAAGAGGAGTACTCCGGAGGCTGCTACACGGCCTACTTCCCCCCGGGAATCCTGACCCAGTACGGAAAGTAAGTCTCCCCCATGCACGACGTGTCCACACAATACATGCATTTATTCGCTGTCAAACAATTACTTTTATCCTCCTATCCTCCTTTTATCCTATTATGTTTCCAGACAAACTGAAAGATTTGGGTTTTTTTACTATCCAATAATTTAATTCATCTGAAAATTCAGTCAGGGTTTTTTAAATCAGCGGATGCGTCATCACTATTTGTTTAAGTTGAAGAAATGACATCTTTGAATTAAAAAAAAAAAGATTAATTTACACAAAACAGCAGTAAAGTGTATTTGCGGCTGATTTGATGCAGTGGAACAAATTTAACAAAAGGCCTTTAAGTCTTTTAAAGCTATAATTTATCTCCCCCCCCTGCAGGGTGCTGAGGGAGCCGGTCGGCAAGCTGTACTTCGCCGGCACGGAGACGTCCACAGAATGGAGCGGCTACATGGAGGGGGCGGTGCAGGCCGGAGAGAGAGCAGCCAGAGAGGTCAGAGGTCACCGTCAAACAACCAGAAACATCCACCCATGTGTGGAACTTATGACAAAAAGAGTTGGCAGAGTTTTATTTTGAAAACCAGAGCCAACCAATGTGTTCCTGTTGCAGGTCTTGTGTGCGATGAAGATAATTCCACAGAGTCAGATCTGGCAGACGGAGCCCCAGTCTCTGGTGAGGAGGGAACCTTTCTCAATCAATGTTTAGGGACAAACAGTCTGAAAATGTAACTGGAAACTTCTTCTGTCCCTCCAAACAGGAAGTCCCGGCGCTGCCCTTTGACACCAGCTTCTGGGAGAGGAACATGCCTTCGGTGTGCGGCCTGATCAAGCTGGTGGGATTCTCCACCTTCCTGTCTGTGGCGGCGGCAGCCGGCCTGGTGGCCTACAAGAAGGGCCTCCTCCCCCGCAGTTAAGCGCGTCTCCGTAGGCGGGCCGGTAAACCTCCGAGTAGTGAACCGCGCCGTCGCACAAATGGCCCGATGCGCTGATTCGGGGTTGGGAGATGCTGGCGTGAGGGGAGAGAAGAACACGCCACTTCAGCTCAAATCTACTTCTAAGTCAGGAGATTGAGATTTTTTTTAAACCAATGAAGGAAAAAAACAGAATTCATTTAAAAATGAAAGATATATATGATTATATGTATAAATCACAATGAATATTCCATACATTGCCAATGACATTCACAGTCATGCTCTCTGTGTGTGTGTGTGAAATGAGCTGCGTGTGTGTGCATGCGGACGTGCTTTGATGAGCATGCATTTGCGATTGTGAGTTCGTCATTAGTGTACAAACTGTGTGTGTGTGTGTGTGTGTGTTTCCGGTCCGTCTAATTACCTCTGCTGGTTACAGGTGCTAATTTATTCTGGCCGAGCAGCTGTAGCTGTTTGTGGAGCTCCAGTTCCGTCAGAATAGAATAGATTGGTGCCGTTTCCCGTCACAGAATCACAGAGGGAAGGAAAAGCTGGTTGATGTTCTATATTTTTCTCTTTGTCAACTAATCTAATCAACACTGTAATTGTTTACTTTTATTGATTATCGTCCCGAAGCAGAGTTCATCTTCTTCGTTTGTGCCTCGGAGCCTCGGTTTCTTTTTTTTTTTTAAGCACACAGAAAGGACCCAGATTTTGACACAAGTCAGACCCCACACACATTAGCTTGGAAGGGGGGGCGGCTGTCTGCAGCAGGGTTTCACACTCAAACAGGAGAGGAGATTAACTGCAGAAGAATAACTGAGGGACCTTTTCTGCACGTTCTCTGTAAATCCCCCTTTTTCCCTGTGCACTTATGAAATAGCGTCAAACTACCTTTGGGATGAATTCCAATCATTTGCTCCAATTGAAACACTTTCCGCCCCTGCGTGCGCATCTTTTTCATATATCAAAGAATCACGAATTAGCCTCGCGGCTTTACAATTTGCACAGCGGAGGAGAACCTTCTCTGGTCTCATTTTGACGAAACCACTCAAATGACTCACGAATGCACCAAATGCACGACTGAAAATAGACCACATGCACTATTTACACTTAAATAAATATATGAATATGACAATCCTTAACAACGATACAGTTTTGTTCCCCTTTTTAAAACGATTCACATCCTCATCGAGAGGCCAACATGCTACGAAAGCCAGAAAGCATCAAGAGGATTGTTGACAGTGAGAGAAATGCACTGAAAGCCTCGTCGTGCCATTTAAAAACCTGTATTTAGGAGTAATGCAGCACTGCCAGGCTGCTTTCTCACCTTTTGGTAGATAGTTGGAGGCATTCGAGTGTCTTTTTATGATCATTCCCAGAAAGATGAGACAGACACACAAAGACACAACTGCAAACGCTGGCTGCCGGGATGGTCATCGTTGACCAATCGGCATCAGGCCGTTTTTTTTACCTAACGGACATCAGGATTTGAGGTCTAGATGTGAAGAAACCCCACACGAATCTAAAAGAGTTCTTCTGTGAGTGTGTCTGTTTACGGAGGGCATCGTACTGTGTGTGTGTGTGTCTCGTTATCTGTCGCGCCTTAATTGTCGTCGTGAAAGTCTTAGTGTTTGTTGTCATTTCTCTCAAGTGCCTGTGTGACTCTGCACTGGAGATCAGAGGTCAGATCGACAGGTCCTCGGTTGTCCTCGGTAACCATCAGTACACGGGGACGGGTCCCCCCACTGGTCCCCCAATAAACCTTTAATGCCTCAGTGTAGAGTGACAAACGATGGAGCTCAGACTGCTCAGTTGATCAAACCGCTCATCTCCAGTGAAGCAAAGTCTGTGTGTGTTTTGTACTGTGACCCCCCCCCTCCTTTCCTCCCAGCACATGCAGCCAGCACTCCTCCGTCCCCCCGAACTACTACAAAATGTCTGATCCGTGCTCGATTCTCCTCCTCCGGAGACCCGCTGTGTGTGTTTGAGACTCCTCCCGTGACCCCGTCATTTGATGTCTTTGATTCCCAAACAAAGCCGGTGATATTCAAAAAGAAATGTGAAATAAATGTACTTAATCGACTCGACTCGAGTGTCATTTTGTGTCTTTTCCGACAAAGAAGCAGAATCTCCCCATCAGGTGGCGGAAGTGCTGCAGTTCAGTTTGAGGTGATTTACGGAGTCGTTCCGTCGACTGCAGAAGTAGAAAATGTGAATCACATCCCAGTGGCCTGGATCAATGCCACGCTGAAAGGTTCACCGTGTTGAGTTTAGCGGCACTGTGAACTGAATACGGCTTAATTTATGGCCGCTGCGGTGAAGGCGACATCATCACGGCCTGCGCTTTGTGCATGAATGTCGGCGCAACATTTAGTGTCCATCCACCCCGATGGTTCCTGGTGTATTTCAGCGTGGACAAAAGCGGGGGACGCATCGATCGAAGGGCATCTCCAGTGCCGCGTTTGGGGGGAAAAAAATAGTTTTTTTTAAACTGTTTTGCACTTTACAGCCTTTATAAGCTGTGTTCTATAAGTTACAACGCAGCCAACAAGCAGCTGGGCGACCATATATTTACAGAAGTGGGTCGTGCAGCCAAAGGTTATTAAAACAGATGGATAAGTGATTTACATTACACCCTCATTGTGTGTAACTGTGTGTGTGTGCGTGTGTGTGCACATAACTGAAGCCCATATGGATTTTCTGGCAAAAAAACCCGAAGGAGCTCCAACGTTCTGCGGTGGAGGGCCGCTGGCAAAGCGAGAGCCGACGTCTGCAGAAAGCACCAGGCCAGCGGGGAGAGCCAACAACTCCACTTCATCGTGTCAAACTGCATGTGACCCCGACGAGTGCGTGTGTGCGTGTGTGCGTGTGTGTGTGTGTGTGTGTGTGTGTGTGTGTGTGAATGAGCCAGGACTTCGGCTCTTCAATCCCTCTCCTCTTTCATCTCTACTGCATTTAATCAAATCTCCCCTTTCGAGCTCCTCGCCGCATTCAGCCCAATGCAGGAGTTGCGAAATCAAAGTCGATCACGGTCGTGGATGTGAGGACGTTGACCTTGAGCTCGTTGGTCTGGTGGTTGACACCTAGTGAAAGGTTGCCTCCATGTCAGCCCTGCTGACCTCTCTCGTCTCTCAGGGGCAGGAGGTGCATGGATGGACACTCACCCGTGTCAGCACTGTGTGGGTCGCGCCACTAGAGGGCAGATGACAACCACGGAAAACAAGGTGAAATAGTGTCGCCCCCCACACTTTTTTTTTAAATTTGATTTGTGGCTAATTTGTGTGGATCAGGCGTGGACACGCGTGGCGGGCGGGGGGGGGGGGGGGGCAGGAAGGCTTTGCTGTAACATTAATCCGGAGCAGGGTGGTTTGGTCATGTTGTCCCCCGGGCTGGTTTTCGGTGGTTGACATATGGCACTTGTGTTGCGCTCATCACTCCCGTCTGAGCTGTACAGCCTGAGGGTTGCACGACCCCTGATTGACACACCAGGCTTAGTCACTGCGGCCTGGCTTCCATCGCCACGCCGCCGGGCCTCGACTGCAGCTGCTTCCCCGGTCTGCACAGGGGTTGCGTAACTGCAGCTGCATGAGGATTGCAGGGGTTGTTGTTTTTTCTTCATTTAATGTAGGTGGCAACACATCTGCACAAGCACACACACACACACACACACACACACCGTGCTCCCTTTATTAGAGCGCGCCCTGGCTCCCGACCCCCCCGCACTCCTGCGAATTAAAATCGACACTGTCAATTTGCCTTCCCAATCCGTCAGGCCGCGCGGTATAGGATAGAGGCGGCGGTTATTGCGGGGCCCGGGGACTTCGGGGGCCGTGGCCTAGGCAACCATCCACCCACAACCACACCGCCAACCAGACCCCTTCAACGGTGAAATCGTCTGCATTCTCCCGTTAACCGTTCCCACTCCCAGACTCAGGGCTGCATTTTCGGAAGGAAGGGGTGGGGAAGGGAGAGGAGGGGGCACAGAATCCCCCCCCCCCCGGGACCCGAAGTCAATTGAGGCAACACAATTTGATTAAAAAAAAAAGTGCTTCTGATGAAAAACGATTATTTCCTTTGATTGTGGTAGCTCTTATTCAGGTGCACAGAGACATTACTGCATCACATTACATGTCATTTAGCTGACGCCTTTATCCAAAGCAAATTTTTACCTAATTTAAGTCATGGGGCATTGTTTACCCTTATTATCATGACAATTATTGGTATTGTTAATCTTTCTGGCAACAATGTTAAAGTTGGTAATCCTCTCTGTTTTTGGGTCAATCTTATTATCTTTTTTTACAGTTTTATGGCAACTTGGCTACAAGCAGACGATCTTTGCCTTTCGTAATAGTCCCCAAGGTTTTGTTTCATCATGAATATCGTCACTTGTAGGTAATGATGATCCAGTCGAAGCCCATTCTCCAATAATCTACGGCGTCACCGCAGCGTTGCTTCAACTCACTTCGACCTTCAGGGTGATCTTCAGTGAGTATATTTCACTCACTGTCATCATCTGTCACTCTGCTGTCGCAGGCAGCGTGTTGATGGTGATTCAGGCGTCCCACCTGACTGTCCCAGCAGGCTCTCTATGGATCAGAGGGCCCAGGGTGGAGCTATGCGAGCCGGGTGGAGGCCGGTGCCGCTCACTGCTCCCCCCCCCGTCTCGCTGTGACTTATTGTTCTGGGCCGGTGGGACCTCCGCGCAATTTACTGCGAGATCCTCAATAGATTACGGCGTCTTCTCTTGTTAGACGTTTCACTTTGGCCCGGATGAGGACTAACAAGCCTTTAGCAGTTATCCGCCTTTATGATTTATGGAACATCTTTGCTGAGATGTCGTCACGCACAGATGCGAAAGACAGAAAAGATGCACAATATTTTATGTCTTGAGGAATCTTCCCGTTATGTTTCTTGAGGTACGGAAAGGAACGATTTGCCGTTTTGACCCTCTGCAGGAATAAAGTCACTTTAATGGTGAGAAACAGCGTAGCGGCGCATAGTCCATCGGTTATTTGTAGCTCCGCTGAGATCCCAGAGCTGCACCGTTGGCCTCAGAACGGCCTCTTGGTGACAGTGACGGAGCACTGGGGAGGATTTTCATCTGATACGGAGCCATCAGAGCCCAATAACGAACAACATCACTCACTCTGTCAAAGCACACCGAAGAAAGTGAGCTGGGCAGGTGATGGTGGACGTCAAGGGAAGTTGAGAGAAAAGGAAAGGGGGGGATGAGGAAATCTGCAATCTACTTTGATTAAAAAACAGCAGCTTTCTGTCCGTCCTGGTGAGGTAAAGTAAATGACCCAGCCCCTTAAATGTCCCTCTAAATGACAGACTCTTTGCAAGTGACACCAGCGTCCCCCTGCAGGACACAACCAGGACGTGAGAATGACGACAGAGAGAAGACAGATGGACGAGCGGGTAATCAAATCAAGTTGCACAAGGCTGAGAGTCTTAATTTCAGGCCTGGCTGTGTGTCACTCCCTGCGGTCCCGCAGGACTCTCCATCACAGCTCCAAAGTGATAAATAACTGGGGTAAATAGTAAATCCGCCCACGGCTGCAGAGGGAAGGAGGGGAGGAGAGGAGAGGATGGAGGGAGAGTGGAGGGAGTCTTAATCCTTCCAGTGAAATGGCTGCAGTTCAAGTCAAGCCCTGAAACCCCAAACAGCCTTTTTCTCTCCCTTTCTCTCCCTAAACAATGAAGGCTCCTGTTTCCTGCCTGTGCAGGTAAATGGTCCCTCACAGTGAAAGCAGAGAAACAAACACAAACACAAGTGAAGCACTTAAGGGAACAAGCTGCCACTGCCACAGTCCCAGCTGGTTCAAATGTGTCCCATTTGAATGCCTAATGCCTTGGAGGGTGGAAAGAGCTAATCACAGCTCATTTCAAATTAGTCCCCACAAACGGCGACCCGGCTTAATCGTACTGCAAATCTAACTGCACGCGGCGTTGTTTGATTAGTCCGCCTCACCGAAGACCCAGCGTGAGAGCGCACCTGGGCATGTGTGCGCGGGAAAGCACCCGTGGTATAGAGGCGAGACGCAAGCATGTCGTTACATTCCATCTGTTCGGCTGTGACGGCGGGGGAGAAAAACCTAGAAAACGGAAGCGTTTTGTGCGAGAGAAGTCTGATTTCAATCAATTGTAATATCTTAAAGAGGCCGCGGTTTGCATCGAATGGCGTGATCATCTGGTGGGGTCCGGGGGGCGTGCGGGGCTGTTGTGATGGATTCAACTTTGCCCATAAGAGAAGCATCCAAAGGGATCAACTGCTGTCACACTTGGTTCAGCGGGCTGTTGCTCTTAATTCAAACTCACCAAACCGTTCAAAACAGAGCGAAAAAAAAAAAAAGAAAAGGCCCTCCTCCCAAAGTCAGCCACGGCCCCGGTACGTTTTTTTAAGGGGAATTCCAGAAATGTAGTATTGTTAAATACCACACACATTTAATGCACGGCTTTAAAGGTAACACCGGGTGAGTGATCGACGAACAAATATGAATTATACGCAAAGGATATGAAAACTTCAGCCAACACATGAGGAGAAGAACCTTAGACCTCCTGATTCATTACCGGGCAACTGGGTTAAAACAGCCAGAGACGCAACGTTGTGAATCCAGAGGCTCTTCGCTGCCTCCACGCGGCTCTCAACATGGCGACGCAGTAGGCCGCGCTCACGTGCACTTAACGGGGAGGGTCGCTGCGTTACGCCGCCGCAACTTGTTTGTCATGCTCCCAATCACCGCCCTGGACATCGGGTAACAGGGAGCCGCTGAACGCGCGTCCGTGCACGTACACGTGCGCCGTGTGCCTCCCGGTACTCGCCGAGGGGCCGACGCGCCTTTTGTGCAGCCGGCACCGCTTCATCCACGCGTGTCCCTTCTCATTCCACATCACCCGAGTGTGTTGAGTCACAAAGCAACACCTCAGCAGTCCGTGTGTGTGTGTGTGTGTGTGTGTGTGTGTGTGTGTGTGTATTGAATTGCCGTTCACGAGCATTTAACTGGATTCAGCAGTGAAATGACTAAAATGATGTGGCTGCATTTTCTGTGTCTCTTGTGCAGAGACATTGTTCATGATAATTTGA